AATGTTGTAGCTGACGCCCTTTCAAGGTAGGACGATCAATTTCCCTTCCTTCCTGGATTACATGCTGGCCAACCGGCGAGGAATCGCAGGAGCTTCTTCTAAGGCCTAACCAGCGTTTCGCCACCTACCCAGCTCCTTCTAAGCGCAAAACTATTTATTGTGAAGTTTCCACGGGCCGGAAAAGACCATACATTCCGAAAGAGTTTAGTCGATCGATTTTTGACAGGCTACATGGTTTATCCCGTCCCGGAACTCGCGGTTCCGTTAAACTACTTACCGAGAGATATTTCTGGCCGGAAATCAGAAAAGATGCCGCAAATTGGGCAAAGTCGTGTGGTATGGGTATTACTAAGTTAGGGTTGATATTTAAGCCCAATTTTTCACGCCATCTTAATATAATGTTTAGGACGTTTTGCATCTGATCAAACACCATTTGCAATTTGGTCCTGTTGGTTTGCCTACCCTCTGTGGATAGGTCTTTGATGATGAACCACTGTGTATGTGTCACTCGGGTTTTTATATAAAATGAAGTGTTTCTTAGATTTAAAATATTGTGTGTCACATGGCAACATTCAAACATGAGTTTTTTCATTTGGATACACATTTTTTGCATTACCTGGGAGAGTACATGGGGTTGGGTTGTTTTAAGTTAGGTAGGGTTATGGTTATGGGCTTTACTAATTGTTTTCTTAGAGTTGATATGTAAATCCACTTTCTCACACCATCAGTCTACAATGTTAAGGGCGTGGCGTTTTGTACCTGATCCGCGGGGGGGAGCTTTCAAAAATATTTATAATTAATTTCATGCTTACTCTTGGTCTGCCTCTCCTCATGGGGTGACCAAACCAATCAACATAGACCAACCCAGCAAAGATGCATAGTCCAGGATGATCGGTACATATCAATTTACAAGCTCATCACCTCGCAGACTACAGGAGGAAATCTCAACTTTTCTATGTAAATAAATAACCCACAGGCCGTAGTTTGCAGATTCTTGATAAAGGTGAATAGGATGTTAAATGGAGGAAGAGCATAGGGTGATAGAAACCTCAATATATCATAAATATTAGATGTATTTCTGCAGATATATTTTAATAAATAAATGCATATAAAACAAAAACCAACTAGTGGAAATGATTTGATTGAGTCTGCACTATTCATTTCCAGAAGATTAACTTAAATTTTAAATAATATTTCTAATTATAATAATTGCCAACTGTTTACAAAAAGTTTTTTTATTAGTTAAATTTGAATATTTATTGTATACTTTTGAAGTAATAAATCTGTATTTTAAATTTTACCAACAACAATAACAATAAGTAACAATAAGTTACTTTAAAATAGTTTATAATAAAGGTATTTATGTACACATTCACAATATAAACACACACTTCATATTTACAACCATCGATTGTTCCTTAATCAGTGTAATTTATTCTACATTGCTTAATAAATACATAGTCTTTTATTTCACAGTTTTATATTACAAAACAGTCTAAAATAATGAACAAAAAAAATTAATATTTACCTACATATACAATGTCTCATCAGTTTTTTTAATCTTAGCAGAAGAAAAAAAAACGATTGCTTTTAGTTGCTAAATTGAATAGATTAGTATTTAAAATCAGTAGTATTTAAAATCAGCAGCCACATTCAATATTAAACCAGTTTTTTTACAATGTGAAAAATTATAAAGCAAAATAATCAAAAGCGCAATGCAAAAAAATTTGGCAGGGGGTTGCATTACAAATACAAATAATAAAACTTAATTGCACTTAAAAAACAGGGGATATTAGTTTTTTCTTTTTTTTAAGACAAGCAAAAATATTACCTGTGCTACCTGCAACTTTAAACATCAGGTAAAAGTCTTTTATGATTTAATCAACATACAATCCATTTTCACTAATATCCCTTGTTTAAAAAACATCCAGGATTTTATTGAAATAAAATTATATAGAAATCAAATTGAACACATTCAGAGAAAAAAATATAATTTCTCTTTCAGCGAGTTTTTTTAGAAAAGGCTTGTAAAATCAACAGGACGACACTTTTTTACATGACACGTAACCAAGGCACATATTTATCATAACTGAATATGCAATAAAGGCACATATGTATCAAAACTTGTGAATGGGCTATCTTTGAAACAAAATATACCTATTTTATTACAGATTTCACAAAATGTGTAATTATTGACTTCACTCAACATAAAAACAACCTTTGAATTTGTTGAGAAAGAACAAAATTCGTGAAATGAAGTTTGATGTCATATCCCAACTTATTAACTTAATTCTCTGAGGTCCTCGTTGTAAACCATAAATTCTGGGAGAAATATTGGTTGAAATGTGTCAAATACTATATTGAATAAACTCTTCTTAACAATGATCATCTATCACAAACTAAAATTACACTTTTTTTAATTTGGAATGCAAACTTGTGGCTCATTATAAGCATTTTAAAAGATAAGTAAAGATAAATGGTACTTTTAAACCCAAGCTTATTATAACAACTCAGTGTACTGAAGCAAATTAAAATTTTGTTATACAAATTTTTTATAAATTTTCAAATTACCGAAATCTCTCAAACACTATAAATAAATGTTTAACAAGCATGAAATATTTAATTTATACAATATTTTAATTCAGAACAATATATAACTAAAGGCCTTTGTAAGGAAATTCTCCTTTGAATTTTTGTATATTCTGAACAATAAGTTTTAGAAAATTAATAATAATAATTTGCCAGTGAAAATAAACTAATACTTACAAACATTATCCTACATTGATAATATTGTTAGCATTAATTTTCTTCAACTTTTTTTTTAAATCTTATTATTTATAATATCCCATTTACAGAGACTACCAAAAAACATTATTCCAAAAAAAATATTTGTTATTATTTTACATGGATCAAATTTCGCTGTGCTGTGTAAAATGTTTATATAGTGGGTCAAAAAAAGTATTGGCACACTCCCCTTTTCTCTTAAATCTTAAAACTGAAAAAGGTTAATTGTTCGATACTGAATTTATTAAATCCATTATATTTCATGGTCTGATTGACCAAATAACTTCTTTCAATTAATTAATCTTTATGTAAGGTATTGGTTAAAATAAAAAAGTTAGTGTCACGAGCGGGATTCGAACCCACGACCTTTGGCTAAATACGCCACTGCTCTACTACTTGAACTATCGTGACTTCAATCCACTCGGACACCAACTTTCCATCTCAACCTACCTTTCGAATTTATTTATTAAATTTATTTAAAAACTAGCATCCAACTATTTTTTGGTGGCAATAAATTGAGCAAATAAAAATTAAGATAAAAATAATAAATAAGATGAATTTCAAGGGTCAAAAAAGTATTAGAAATGTTGTTTCTTGTTCATTTTGAATAATCCTATGTAAAATGTTACCCTTTATTTTAACCCTTTCAATCTGAAAAAAGATTACAATTTTTTTAAAATAAAAACTACAAACTTTTGCATTACTAAAATGAGATCGACTTGGACCTGAAATAACTCACAACCTTGTATCCTCGATGCCGCGAAAACATGAGGCCTTAATTGATTCAAATGAGATGGTAATAAAATATTAAAGTGTAGATAAAATTTTGTTTCTAAAAAATTTTCTACTGTGCGAATACTTGTTTGACTCTTCAAATTCATAATCTTAATTCTCTCAAAATATTGTAACTCAGGGGAAGAAACAGAAAAAGAAATTAGTAAATTAAAATGCAAGAAATATAAGAAAAGAAATGTAAAGCTAAGGAAGAGAGGGGTGGTGATGACCAATGTAGTTTTCTGGCCATAAAACTAAAACTAAAAAAACATTTAAATAGCATAGTCAAGTTGTAAATTGTAACCTTTATTGTTCCATGAAAACTGGACACATAAGTTATTTTTAATAATCGTTAACCTTTTTTTCCGAGGTTCGCTACAGGGTTAGTTTAGGAAGAGTTAGGTTTAGGTCAGGGAAAGGTAGAGCTAGGTTAGGAATAATTAGGTTAGGTGAGTTAGGTTAAATTAGGAATGGTTAGGTAGATTAGGGTTAGGTTAGGGTTTTCTTTTTGCCAAACCCTTAGAATGCCGGTGTTATTTAAAAAAAGTTGTAAGTATGTCAGATTCAAATGCAGTGCAAGTGGACTTAAACTTGGGATCATTACCTTATAGTGACGAACACCGTGTCAACACCTTAACCATTCCGATCACCGACGCCCCAATAATAATAAATGTTTTTATGAAATTGCATTTTTTGGTTATCTCCGTCTATGGAATATAATAAACAATAAGATAAAAAATACTAATACTGATGTTCAGAATAAAATAAAATAGTTAAATTTTGATGCACATGCGAAAGAAGAAAGTTGTTTTACTTCCCCATTAGGAATTTTAAGATTTTTTTAAGTAATGAAATTTATGTTTATTACCACTATAAATAACTTTAGCTGTATAAGTTCTCTATTACCAAAATTACAATAGTTCATTTCTTCTCAACTGACTGTTTTAAAATACAATGAAATATCATTTAACATTTTATGGTATAAAGCATCAACAAACAAAATATAATATGAATCATGTGATCATTAGTTTCAAACTACATTAATTGAACCAAATATGAATTATGGAATGGATTTTTTTTGTGCTCGATTGTCAACATAAATGATGACAAAGATGACAAATCGCAATACAGTCATCAATAAATTGTAAAATAAAACAAATTTATATTAATAAATTACGACAAATAGTTGTTGTTTTATTTAATAAGATTGCAATTATATAGAAAACCAAGATGAAAATTGGGAGGGAAAGGTGTAAAAAATATATTCTATTTTTTAAATAAAAAAATAGGTCATTTGAGTTCCATAAAACATACCCTATCTACAAATTGAAACTTTTTCTTGGTAAATTTTGTTCGACATTTCTAAAATAACAGTTTATTGTTTAATCGCTTTTAAGCAAAATTTAAAAAAAATATATTAAACTAACCACTACATAAATAATTTAAATCCTGCTAATTCAACTTAAATAATTATTTATTGCTTACAAATTGTAATCCTATCATTTAAACAAAAATCTTTACATTGGTTAATGACAGATATTATCATATCAAATATGAAAAACTATAATTAACAACAATTTTAATATATGAAACAAGTAAAAATTAACAAATTTTGACTAATATGAACACAATAGCGACATATTTCTTTTTTCATAAAACCTCCCAAATTTACGATATAAAGATAAAGTTTGAAACTAGATAATCACAAATTTATGTAAAGAACTAAAAAATACAAATAATTAGTAAAAAGTGTCAAAATGATACTATTAGATATGGCGCAGTCTCGGTAATCCGAATTTGGGACTGATCCAAAAAAGTTTCTCAGTTATAGTTCTGCAATACATAAAACATTTTCAAAAAACCTGGATTATTTTCACATTACTGTATTTTGAAAACGACTTTGGGGTTTTCTTCGGATCTTTTTTTTAAATATGAACATTTCCTTTTTTCAGATTACAGAGACTGAACTTACAAATATTTAAAAAAATTATATAATGTATGTATATGTATATATACATGTATACACAGATGGAAAAGTAGCAAAAATGTACAGATTATAAAGAATTTGGTAATTAAAAGTTTTTTTATTGGAAATAAACACGTAGAGATACCTATTAAAGATATAATACATGCCAAATTAAACTAACATAAATTAAGTATCACAGGGAAGGAATATCAATACTTCTTTACTTTTGGGGCCCTATTGTACAGTGGTGCCATTTCAATCATTTATTTATTTATTATTTTTAATTTTTAAGGAGGGTGGGAATATAAGATAATGTGAATGTTTGAATGATTCATTTAAGCAAGATTTTATAACAGTACTGTAATATTTTGCTATTAGGTGTTTTTACTATTTACGCAAATATGCTTTAAATAGTTCAGTATATTTTTATCTATAAAAATATAGCAGTGGTAAATTTGTACAATGTAAAGACGGGATATACAAGTTATTTAATTTTGTACATATTTATACATACTGTTTTAATTTTTTTCACTAATATTTAACTTTATATTAAAATTTTGATCACTTTGGCTTCTAACATCTAATTTATAAACTACTTACCATTCACTTTTGCTTCATGAATGCTTGAACCTTTGGTATCTGCTGTATCTCTTGATTGATAAAACAGAATATAACCTGTCTCAGAAGACTTTTGAATATCAGATGTTAATCCATAGAAATCATCTATTGCTGACTGGTCAATTTTCTAATCAATAAATAATCAATTATAAAGCATTTTATGTCAGGCTGAACGAAAACATAATGAGTAAGCCATGGTAATCTAACATTCAAAGACAAAAAAAAATGGACACTTTATTTTCCATAATAACTATGTGAAAAGATTAATAGTTGACTTAAAACATAAACAAAAGATTAATAAATAGTTGTTTGCCTTTATAAAGTGTTACTAATCCTTTTACACTCTTTCGATCAAAAATAAAATCAGTTCAATTTTATCCTTTCCAGCCAGCTTGTCGAGTGAGTCATTTGCTTCTAAAATTGTTTTCTTTTATGAAACCATAAATTTCAGTAAAAATTATTACATGGAGATCGTGAGATGTGGTCTGGTGTGGCATAGGTTTTAGAAAAACATTTTCTTTATCGTGCCAACGTTTCAATCTTTATTGAGATCATCTTCAGGGCTCAAAGTGCCCGTTTTCTGTGTAGATGTGTTATTCTTGAGTGTCGTGTTGAGTAAAAAATTAATTATTAATTTTTTCTTCTTAAAAGCAAGATTTTAAGTCGAGAAGATCTCGGTCGGGCAGATGCTCTGCTGCACAACAAATGTAGCGCCTGTTAGCCCCAATCCCAGCTATTCCTCCATTTACGATGGTCTACGTGGTTTAGGCCACTGGAAGTCTCAATAAAAGAGAAGTGGTCAACTGCAATGTATGACAGCTAGGGCCAATCGTTTTACTGCTCTTAATGCACTACAGAACCATCATTAACAGCTTCCTTGATAGGTAGACAACTCCAAAAGGTTCATAAAAGATAAGCTCTAAAACAATCAACAGAAGGCTTCATGCGAATAGCCTAGACGTCCTACATCAGGATCTCTACTGCTGGAGAAGCATCGAGTAGAAAGGTGACTATTGGCAAATCAACATCTCGCTTGGACACTTGAACAATGGGGCTGTTCTCATCACAGTTGAGTGCCGGTTTGGTGTGGCAATCAGATGACCAGGACTTTGTATGGAAAAGAAGTGAAGAACGCTTTGCTTTATTGCCATGTGCGAGTCACAGCATTTTAAGTCAGTTACAGTATTGGGTGGAATCAACGCCCATGCCCTTTACAGAACTGATTATCATACAGAATGGTTCTTTGACTACACTAAGGTACATAGAGGAAGTTCTTCTGTGGTCCCATCCGCTCCATTTATTGAGAACAACTTTGTGTTAATGCTTGACCACAGCTTGAGTCATTATTGAGTTAAGGTTACTAAGATTACTAATTGCCCAGCATGTTCTGCTGACATGAATCTTATAGAAAACTATGGGCGTGGTAAGGAGATGGGTTAGACATCATCCATCGCCTCCAACAACAACAGCTTCAAATCACTCTTGATGAAGAAGGGGATGATTGTTTCATAAGACAAAATACGGTTGCTTATTTACTCAATTCCTAGGAGACTTAAGGCTCTCCATGAGACCAGAGAAGGTAATGTGCGTTATTAAGAGGAAAGCTAGGTAATAAAATTTAACCTATCACCAAATGATTTCCCAGTGTTTTGGTGAATTTTATTTTACACAATTTATTCAAATATTTGTTTATTAAAATTCATGAATTTCTGATTTTGTTTAATTTGATTTAAACTAAAATAAGTAGGTTGTAATTAATATAATGATAAAAATACATATTGTTTGAAATAAAAAACGAAATATCAGTGTCCAATTTTTTTTTCTATTCTAATTAACTCTTGCATACTTACATCTACCATGTCATCATCGAACAACAGCCAAAAGTCATGACTTTTCACAATGCTAATGTAATGGCCTCTATTAGGGCCACTGCCACAATGAACGACAACAGCTACAAGATTGTACATGCGATCTGGATTTACTGCATCATCTGACTGCAAAATTCCATTTATGTTTGCATCAATATTTTTTCCTCATTTAAATATGTATATAAAAGTAAAAAATTAATGTGTAAGTTATTGATCTTCTGTCCTCACACACTTGACTATTAACATATGAGTGTCACCTAACAATGTAGAGAAAAAATGAACAAATAGGACAATAGTTGTTATTCAAAGAAATTGGATTTACAAGGGGACATTAATGGATGTGGGAACTTCAATTTCAATTAAACCTTTTATGGTGATGCTAAGCCAAAAAGTATTAGACCCGTGCCCGAGTGTTCTTCCCGGACCCTAGGGGTCCACGACCACATGTAATTTATAGGGTTCTAAACTCTTGTAATTCCGGTAGATCGGTAAAACTGTTGTAAAGTTTGTGATTGAATTGTTGTGATTAAATGAGATCAAATATACACGGTGGTAGGAAAAGCAAAATAAGCTTTCAGTAAATTAGGCAAAAACGCTTTATTGTGCAAACAACAAATTAGATTCATTTAAAGCACCTTTTAAACCCCTTAAAAAGAATTTTTTTATAGCAGAAAGATTTTTTGTTATATATATCTTTAAGCCAGGGACACTTTTTTTCTCCAATGACTGATGGTTTACTTAAAAAATTCATAGCACCTCTGGATTTGATTCAATGTCTAGGGTATTACAATCAAGGGGAAGCTGAATGTTATTTGTCTGTTGCTTATGTCAATTATGTGTAGATTTTATGTTCTTAGTTTATATAATGTTTTATGCTAATATTCCCCGAATGTTTGATTTTATATCTCCGATTATAATTTATTTATAAACACCATTTACGCTATTTTGTGCCATTATGTGTAGCTTACCATGTTTTAAACCACTTTAAAGTTTTAAAATTATCAATATCTTTGTGATTAAATGAGATTGAATAAAGACAAACGGGGTGTTGGTGGCTGCAACGGTTTAGGCGGTTGACGGCGCATTTTTTTTTAAACACCGGCACCCTGACGGTTGACCCTCTGCTGTTGCAAACCATCGTAGGAAAAAAAATGCATTCAGTAAAGTAGACCATTCCCCCTCCTCTGGATCAGTACAGCAGATTCAAAGTTATGAAAAGTTAATTCGGAAGGCTTTCAGAGTTATTTATTTTCGATTTTCCCCCCAAAAAATTGGATTCAAGGGTATTTTTAGGGTCAGAAAATAAATATCTACTTTATTTTATATTAAAAAAAATTTTAATCTAGTTTTCATTGTCACTCAAATACAATAATAAAACCTCTTGCTAAGGGACAGTCATGCTGTAACTGCTGTCTTCTTTTGAGAGATTCTTATTATTTGACAACACATAGCCTGTCCAGTAAACAGAGGGGGTGCCCTAAAGAAATCGAAGGTTTCAATTGCAGCTCACAAATTTTTTTTTTTTTTTTTTTTTTTAAAGCAAGAAACCTAGTTGATATTCTTCTTTTNATATATATAAATATAATATACATATACAGCAAAACTGTAGTTTAACAATTACTTAAATTAGCTTTTTTCCTGCTCCAAGAGCACAAAGAGCACATTCGTAAGAACAGTCGGATACTTGCCTAATATTTTTCGGCCTACTATCACCGAAAAAACCAAGCCACCTGAGGAGGCTCCCCTTTTAAGTTTTTTTTTTAATGCAAAAATGTACAGCAGCTGTTGCTCTCTATAAAATTCAGTTATACCAAAGAAACTAAGTGTAACTAGATGCAAATAAAGTGAACTTACTGTATTAAACAATCGAAGCTCTAATGGGAACACTACACGATGGGACACTTTGATATGTCTATTGTATTGTTCCATGTACTTGAAACGCTTTAAGTGAAGAGCTAAAATCATAGGTAATTTCTTGACCCTCATGCATTTCTAAAAAAAAAAAATTGTTATTATTACCTAAAAAATAAATTTATTTGATGAATGTACTGACCTGGGCTTCTTGATAGCTCGAACAATGGTCACATTTAAATTTATTATCACCACATAATGTTTCCATACTGCTAAAACACCGAAGACAGTGGGTTATTGAGGTGTTCTGGTCGATATCAACTTGAAGATCAAAGAAATCTTCATCTTTGCTGCTCATCTAGACAGAAAAATCATTATAAGCTAAGTTCCTTATTTAAAAAAATAAATATACTTACCGTTTCACAATTTAGGCACCGTGTTTCACTAGTGAGGATTCCTTGAAATATCTCGTGAACCCATGTGGGCTCAGGTGGACTGTTGGAATTACCATCTTCTTCACCTGGTTTCACTTTTTGATTTCTCTCAGCTATTCATTAGTATTACAAATATTTAATGTACATTATTTTAAATTAAATCAAACAATAGGATTAACTCATTAAATGTTAGTAACTAATAAGATTAAATAAACTTCATACTTACAAAGAATTATTTCATTAATATGATTAATAAGAAAATTCAGAAATTCATGAGCATCCTGTTGCATATAATTATCAAATTCCTCTGTAAACAAAATAACATTAAAAAAAATTGAAAATACAATATTTCTAAGATAATCAACCTTTCTCCTTCCGCAGCCTGGCTATAAACTTTTTTGGAGCTATTGAACCAACTTTTTTCTTTTGTGTCGCAATACTATGAAATAAATCAGCAAGGCAGGACAGCAATGTCTCTTTAGTTCTTTTATTACGTGCTTTATATTCTAATATTTTCTCTCGGAATGGCTTACAAAAATAAAGAGCTTGAAGAACAGAGTTGCTGTAGCAAGTATTTCCAAACTAAAACAAACAAATTATTATAATTGTAAATTATTTTGCTATTGTTGAAATACTCACATTGACAAGTCCAAAATAATGTTCATTTGGAGGAAACTGATCAGATCCGATATCCCTTTCTAGTTGTGAAATATTAGCTCCCTGAAATTAGATTAAGCAAATCGAAATGTCAATTTTTCAAAATCATTATGGTTTAAAATTCCTTAAGACTAAAATAATCAAAGAAAGAGGCATTAAACTATCACAAGCCTGGTTATCTTCAGGGATTTTTTTATATTAGCTTTCCTAGTTTATAATATATCAAATTCCTTGGGTCCTCCCAGCAGTATTCATCTGGGACAATGTTGTAGTACTAGTCACATAAACCATCACACCTGTACTGAGCTGCATTCATCCGACCGCATACCCGGCAGAGCTGTGAGCTCAGAGTGATTCAAGATGTTGGTCTGGAGGACAACGAACATGCACAGGCAGCAAGCTGGGACGTCTCTGCCTCCAAACTCTACTACCTCAATCCAGCCCGGGTATAAATAAATAAAATAATAGATAGAACCAAATGCAGATTGGATGACTGGGACAAGAGAAGTTAATCATTCGGATATGGCTGCAATACAGCCCGATTGTAAATAATTCAACTTTTTACAGTTTATTAGAACAAGAACGTAGGCCTTTTATCATTTTGAAATTGTTTCAATAAATTAAGCCCAAACAGAATTATTTTAATTCTTTATCTCTTCAAAGCAGTAATAACAAGGCAGCTTGCTTTTGTACAATTCAGTACAATCTGATTTCAGAAAATAAAAATAGAAAACTCGAATTGTAGAAAAATGTACTTAGCAGGATTATTAGATGAAACAAAAACGTAATATTTGCCATCATACTTCCACAAAGTGCTGAAATTTGTACATGGCACTGTTTTTCATGACTTTTATTACATCAACTGGCGTATTTATAAAATAAATCGCATTAAAACCTTTATGGTATAATCTTAACAAACATTAATAACAATAAATGTTATTCATGTTGAACCGGCACATGGGCACTACTGGGTCTGTCTTCACTCGAGGGTTTTTTGTTTGAGTTTCGGCATTACACCATCTTCAGTGAAAAGTTTTTTTTCACTGAAGATGGCGTAATGCCAAAACGCATTTGAATAACTCAAACAAAAAACCCACGAGTGAAGACAGACCTAGTAGTGCCTGTGTGCCGGTTCAACATGAGTTTGCCAACTCGCAGACCAAACCCCATCATCTACAATAAATGTTATTGTTTATATTCAGTGGGTGTAAATGTGTCATCAGTTGAAAACAATTATTAAAATGTTATATCATGAGGAAAAACTGAACTTTTCTTTATTGCAAATTTTGTTTAAAATAGTTTTTGTATGTAGTTTATGTTTAAATTTAAAAATTTCTTCAAATAAAATAATTATGTTATGTCAGTAGATTTATAATACAATTTGTGCAGTAGTTCCATAAAATTTGGTCATTCATTTTAGTCTGCCATATGTATTTTGGCATTTAGTTATCAGACCAACCCAGAGAGGACAGGCAAACCAAAATGATTGATAACGACAAAATTTCAAGTTCATCACCCTGCAGACAACACGGAGAAATTTCACAAGTTCTGTAAAAGATTACATGATTACCAAAAAAATCAAAAATTACAAGTGTGGAGTTTCTGCAGTGAGTGTACGTTCAAAGCATCCTATGTAAGTTTATGGATATAAAATTATTATTTTGTACAACACATTACACATTGAGAATATAATGAAGGTAAAATATCACAGTATCGCTGTCGTTGTTTTAATTATTATAAGGGTAATTGCTAACAAACCATATTCTCAACTTGGTATAAACACTTTACTTATCTAATCTTTTGTCATAAATCTAAGTCTGAAAATGTAGTAGCAAAATAAAATTATCCCGACAACTACTTTTGTGACAACTACATATGTGAAAAATCAACTAAATCCAGTATTAAAATAGTTTTAAAATTTTCCAGCAATTTTATTTTAGCTTTAATTATTTTATAATTATTTACAATTATTTTTATAAGCCCATTTTAATAATTTTTATAAGCTTATTGCTTATTGCTACTTATTTATAAGTATGTCGGGTTCAAATTATTGTATTATCAGGAATGCACATGGGTTTGGTTGGGGTAGAATTACGGTTAGGTTAGAAATGATTAGGTTAAGTAGAGTTTGGGTTACGTTAGGTTATGTTTTTTTAACAAGGTTATTTCTACTAGGAATGATATGATATAAATCCTCGGGGTGCTGGTATGTCAGGTTCATATTCAAGGCCACTGGATTCAAACCGGGGACCTTTACCTTTTAGCCTTAACCAATACTGGCCACCAACTCCCCTAAATGGTTAGGTTAGGAATGATTAGGGTTAGGGACAGGTTAGGTACATATTCATGATGTGAGTTTTTAACATCAAGCAGAGAAATTATATGAGGGCGAAGTGCCAGTTTTTTGTTTAATATAAACAAAAATAGGATATTAAACTGTAAGGCTTACACATGGAGCCATGAAGATTTATTTTTTTAACTCTTCAACTTTTAACCTGAATAAAGAAATCAAAGAAGAGAAAAAAGCTAAAATAAAATTATCTTGATGTAAAAATAAATTAACATTCAGATCAAAAATATTAATAGTATAAATAAATAATGTAAAAATAATATCCTGTAATCAGTTCAATGGGGATATAGCCCGGGACCGAGGAATGCAAAATGTTTATCAATAGACCATCACAGAAACTTATGGCAGAACTACTAAATCTAAGAGGTGCTAGGACTAGAATAATAGTTGGACTGCTGACTGGACACTGCAGATTCCGAGGCATATGTATCGACTAGGAGTGGCAGAAACAAGTCTGAGCAGATACTGCCGAGAAGAAGAAGAAAAAGCGCAACATGTCCTCTGTTACTGCAAAGGCCCATGTTGGCTGAGATTCCTAATCCTGGGAAAAGAAAAACCAAGGCCTGACACAGGATACACACAGGAGCCCTTGAAAAAGCTTTGGGGTCTGGTAAAAAGCCTTACGCTTAACGAGGAGCTCTAGATAAAAAATAATGGAGATACACAATAGACCAATACGTATCGCGGTGCACATGTCGTATGCAAGAGGCTGGCTCCTACACAATCTAATCTAGGTATGGTTAGGATTAGGAAAGCGCTAGGTTGCATATTCATGATGAATTTTTTTTTTCCAGAGAGGAGAACATGTATGAGTTCAAAGTTCCAGTGTGATTTTTTTAAAAATAAAGTTTATTTATAAGTGCTTAATCGGAAAGGCTGTAAACATTGTAGTCATAGTCATGAAGTTTTTTTGCCAATAATCTGAAAAATAAGAGTTGAAACAATCCCAACTTCATCAAGGAGGATATCATGATCTAAGATATAGACTGCTTTAACTTTATCAAGTCTATATCTATTATCTAGGTCTTCCCACAAACAGAGATATTGTGCTATTTCTTCTTTTACCTGGCAATACAATCTACAAAAGCTTGAATATGATGATCAGAGTATATACGCCTTCCTATTATAATTCTAGTCCTAACACATCCTTGGTTTAATATTTCCGTCATTCGTTTCTACAATGTTCATGTAATGAAATTTTTTGCATGCCTGTCCTGGAATACATTCTTATTGGATCGAGGACTAATTCATAACTCATTGTTTGATGGATCTACGGTTTTAGCAAAGCCACAAAAGGGTTCAAGGCCGATAAGTGTCCTTATTGAACTTTTCTTCCTGGTAATATCTACACAGGCATATGACTCTGAAGTTTACAGTGTCCAGGAAGCAGTCTTGGTTAGCATGTCCTAGGCTAGTTCTTTTCTGCTTTGTCCTGTCATTATTTGGGTGATCTAGACATCTGGTTGAAACCATAATGCACTGGCTCGATCCTCAATACCGGGTGAGTACAAACCAAACTGTAAAAAAGACCCTGATCTGAACACAAAGCACAGAAAACTCAAGAATGGTGTACCTAGGCAGCTCTGGACAATACCCCAATCGCTCAATAAAATAAAAAAAACGTAAAGTTTAGATACATTAGGGTAAAAAAAAGGGTAAATAAAGACTTTTAACTTAAAATTTACAACTTTATATATGCAAGGTGAACATGCCGAACCGGCATTGGGTCATTTATCGGTCTGTTGAACTACTCAAACATGTTTGAGGTGCCATCTTCAGTGAGGAACTAAGGAACAGTGAGAAACGTATATGGTTTGTGTTGTTGATTGTTGGAAGACATTGTGTTAATCAATCAATTTAGCCCATTATTATTTATTGTAAATTAAAAGGTTTACTTCTATTTCACTGAAGGTTTTTGAAGACTGTTTTTGCTGAGAGGTTATTTAGAGGTTTTTAAGCTGAAGAGGACACTCGGTGAAATGTCAAAGTGTACACAAATAAAAACTAAAATTTAGAAAAAGCTAGGTTTTAAATAATAACAAAATTATTCCTGAGATGGGGCAGTGAGTTCTCAGAAATTAGACTCATACAAGCCAGTGTCCCATAATCCCATTTATATTACTGACCAACCTGCCCCCAATACCATCAATCACCACCTATGCGGAGGAAACCACAATTTTGCCCTCTAACTCAAATCCTATCTATGCTACCTCTAACATCCAAGAACTCCTTGAGCTTAAAGAAGACTGGTGCAAAAAGTGGAGGACAAGACTGAATGAAGAAAAATATTCACCGTTTCATATTGAAAAAACAGTCTTGCTGTACACTGTACACCAACAATAAATAGTTCCATTCAAGTCAAATACTTTTAACTATACCTAGACAACAGACCTGATGTGGAATCCCCATACAAGACTTAAGCAGGGAACAGCTTACCTGGTGTAATCCAGCGCCACCCCACACTAATCCAACATCCAATTTTCCATATGAATCTACTACCCACATGCACATTTGCCTGATGTAGCATACCGCCACTCTCCACAACGTATTGCCACCAACATCCCCATTATACAAATTTTTGTCGAGTAGGATCAAGTGGTTCAACTTATATCCATTCCAAAATTAATAAATCCAAAAAATAGTCGAACACCTGTCTAAGAAATTGTCCAAATCATGAAGGAAAATGCATGTATGTGGAAAATTCTTCAAGATTAATGTACAAAATCGAAAGATATGGATGAAGATGATATGCAACTGCTGCTTGCTCCATGCAAATAATCAAGTTGATCTTTCATCATCCAAAAATACATGTGGAATCGATCAGCATTTTCCTTTTCAAATATAAAAATGGCGTATGATATTCGCCAGACACATCTCTAGTGGGGTTCAAGCAGTTGAGAAAAAGCAGATCACTGCTGCTACCATTTATTTCACGCCTTCTTCAGGGCTATCCATTTCAGGAATACTACTGTGATATACATTGTAACTGTCACATGGCCTGTGCTTGTGTCGAACAGATGTGCATACCCCAGCAATATGCGATAAGGCGTCAGGTTGTTGGTGTTGAATCAGGGCTGTTGCCCGCTTTAAGAGACAATAACTTAACAGAAAACTTGGGCAACTACAAAGACTTCTAGGACTGAAATTTGTGCTGACCATCAACACTCAACTAACCTTATACAAAACTTTATTGCAACCACTTTGGATATATGGAATGGAACTGTCTTCAGGCAAGCCATCCAACATCCAATAAATCCAATCCTTCCAAATGAAAAGTCCTCAGACAAATCATAAAGGCTCTTTACTGCGTCATTAACCTCACTCTCCACAATGACCAAAGCATACCTTTTGTCAACAAACTGTTCCATTCCCGTTTCCAAGTTTCACAGCTCTTGATCCAGCCTAGCGTTACTGCCAGAGCCCTCTCTACACTATCCATCCCAAGAACCCACCACATCAGCTTAATCAACGATGGCCTTGAGACCTCCTCATCCCTTAATCCCTCTTATTGAGTGCCAGCTTTGGCTAATTTCTCTTAACATGCATTCAATCTTTACAAACAAAAGTCCTCAAATTGTCAAAGCTTAACAACGTAACCTCACTATCCACAATGGTCTCAACATTCCTTTTGCTAATCAACCTTTCAGGTTCTATAAGTTTAACACCAATCAACCAATCCATCCAAACCCTACATCCCTACTGCACAAGCCCTCTCGACATATTACCATCCTGAGAACCCGTCATGTAGACTTACTTAATCAACAATGGCCTAGACCTACTCGTCCCCAAATCCCTCACACAGTGCAGAGTGCCAGGATCAGCTGGTTTCTCATGACGTGTTTCCTCCAGTTGCAACACTGGCATTAGTGTTAGTGAAAAAAGTCTGGTGATCACATTTGTAATGCGTACAGGATAATTTTTTTTTTTAATTAATTAATTTAAAAAATGTGTTGATAGTTTTTAGTAGGGTATGTGGTATGTGCCGATTAAAGTGGTTATTTATTTATGGAAATGTCAGCCCCTGGCTTTGGTTTGGATGCTTTTTGTCAGGCTTTGCGAACAAAAATAGGGTTTACTAAAACAAACGTTGAGATTATTTGAACTTATTCATTGAAAATCAATTACGGGACGGGCGAGTCGGTTATTTTTGGAATCCAATTAACGTTTCTTCCTTTTTCCCTAACAAATCGGGTCGAATTTACGCGAGTGGAGTTCAGTTACTGTCGAAGAAAGGGAAAACAAACGGGGGAAAAAAAGAAAACTAATACGGGAAATGGCAAGAACGCTTGTTTACAAATCCAGTTTGTTTACAAACTGTTTGTTTAAAGGGCTCCGATACGTAAGTCGTCCTATCAAGGAAAAACAATCAGTTGAAGACAGAAGAATCGAGAAAAGTTCGAGAAAAAAAATTGATGTTTACCCCTGATCCTTTACATGACCGGTTCATCCGTCGTGACGAAAAATCGACTAAGTACAACATTTATCACATCTCAGATTAAAAAAGCCTCTGTTTAAAACATTCGACCAAGCTAATTTCCATTCCAGCGGAGATTGCACTTTAAAAAATAAAAAGAAAAAAAATTGGCTTTGAAAACAAATTAAATCGGACGACTTTTCAATAATGCCGATTTAACAAAACCTATAAAGCTTTAAGAAAGACGAATCATCGACAAATACAGAGACAAGGGAAAACCAGATTGATAACGTTCGCCAGGTGAAAAACTCAAAGCATAGGTTGTTGAATAACGGCTAATTAAAAAATCACTCACCATCTTGTAAATAATATAATCCTCCATTCATCGATAGAGTTAATATTGCGATCTTGTTACAATACGATAATAGGAACATTTCAATAGCTGTATGACCATTTTCAGATTATCGCCAACTGAGGCCTAAGGCCGACCGCTAGCTCGAGCCTCCATACAGCTGACCGGCTCTCGGCCTACAAAACATTTATCAGATTAGACAAATAAAAACAAAACAATTATCGTTATAAAACACCTCATGGGAGAAAAAAACAGAAGATTGGTGTAATTTCAGCTTGAAAAATAAACGAGAAAATGTTTTATTGATAATAATCAAAAAATAATAGCCAGCTGTTTTGTGCCTCTATACTTGGTTTCGCTCGATGCGCTACAATCGCTTTTCAACCCGCTCTTTTCTCAAGTTCAAACCGATAAATTTAGTTTGTTTAGTCAAATAATCTTTCAACGGGCGGGTGTAAACGTTACGCGTGGAATTTTCAGATTTTATAGGAGATCGGTTGTTAAGGTGGCCATTCACGATCGCTCCAAGCAGGCTAAACGGAGCGACGCCGTTCCAAAAACCACGTCAATGGCAAAACTGAACTGGCGTGCCCGGCTGTGCCGAATATTCGACCGGTCCAAACTCCATCACGCCCCTCCAAATATCTACGGCGCGACGACGGCATGGCGCGTTCGTGAATGGGAAAACATGGCTGGAGAGTGGGGATTTTGGCGCGCTCGCCTGGTCGTGAATGGGAAAACCCTCTTTTTTGGCGCAGTCTCCGTCTTTCTGTCACTGAGCGAACATCTCCGTCGTACATTCTCACAAAGTCAAAAACGTTTATTCTTAATGGTAATGACATCCAATCGAGATTTTATTGTTGAGGTGATTGAATTGTATGAAAGTTTACCATGTTTATGAAAATGATTATATTACCACGATAGAAAGAAAAGAAATTCGATCCTCAACCAGTTGTTCGACGTTTTCAAAACAACGGATACAAATGCAACGAGAGATGCGGTATTGATAACCCCTAACAATGATCAGAAATCGTAGTAGAGAACTTAAGTTCTTTGTAGTTCATCCCTGTAGCGAGAAATCGTAATGTCGTTGCCAACCTTTCATGTAGTGATGATTTCTATCATGACTGTTTTTTTTCTAAACAAGGGGGTAACAAGCTGGAGTAAATATAAATAAGACAATCTTTTTTTTTTTGTAAGTTTTGTTTGAAATGAAAAAAATAGTGTCACGGGGGATTCGAATCCACGACATTCGGCTAAATACGCCGCTGCGCTAACCACTTGAGCTATCCTGACTTCGATAGTTCGATCCACTCGGACACTAACTCCCCATCTCAACCTACAACCTTTCTAATTTTCTCTCTTTTTGCCATTTTTTGGTGTCGGAGAGGATCGAAGTCACGATAGCTCAAGTGGTAGAGCAGCGGCGATTTAGCCGAAGGCCAAGGATTCAGATCCCGCTCGTGGCACTAGCTTTTTCATTTCAACCAAAACCTTACAAAAAAGATTAAATAATTGAAATAAGTAATTTGGTCAATAGAACACTAAATATAATGAATAAATAAGACGTTTCAGCCATCCTTAAATAGTTCCTCCAATCAGCGGGTTCAAGGGAAAAATCTTTCATCAAATTGATGTGGGTATTACGGCTTCTGTTCAGGAGCCACTTCTTACACCATTTCCTCTTCGATTTTTTGATTTTAATATGTAAATAAACATTAGAGTAGCACAAGAGATCGTCATCCATTTTGAGAAGGTAATTCACTGGTTGACGTTCGGACTTCGGAGCGACTGGCTGTGGAGCGGTCGTGAATGCCCCCTCAAATTTCAGGCACTCCAAATGGAGCTGTACGGCTTGGCGCGGTTCCATTTGGAGTGATCGTGAATGGCCACCTACGCTTTTGTTTGTGTCTGACAGACATCCTCTATACATTGAAATGTTTCCTATCTTTCACACCAGTTCGGTATCTTTTCCATCATTCCTGGAAAGTTTCACAGTTGACACCACTTCCTTCCCTCTAAAGAACTAATATCGCTTGGGTGAGTTCCTGGATGTGGTCCGGTTTGGCAACCATAGATCCTTTATAAACTTAGTGACTGAGAGTTTTGTGGCCCTGAAAAGGGCCGGTGTTGTTTCGTAGCGTCGAGACGATTGATCGAGGCCGAGACCGTGTGAGTGGCGCCGTTGGTGGTGGTCTGCGACCGAGAGGTCGATTCATATCTAGCAGCACAGAGCGTGTCCAGCACGTAGCGTGGCAGACACAAAAAAAATCTTTACGTACAAACCATATAGGAACGTGTTCATATTTACCGAACGTGAGCGGAGCGATTCAGTGCAGACACGTACCAGCACCGGGCAGCATTGTCAACGAGAATGTTTTGCTTGTGCCGGCACGTGTCTGTGGTTGTCTTTTCTTGTCTGTGTGGTTCAATACGGTTAGTATGAATGGACGACAAACAAGATTAGTGCAAATCCAATAGCTTAGGTGCCTATCTATAATAAATTGCATTATAATTTTAATCATGCGCTAATCCGAATTCGGGCTAAAATCCTAATCGCCAATCAGTACATATTCAAGTTTTTATTTTTTTTACTTTTTTATTTTACAAAATATGTATAATAATAACATACCAAATATCCTGAAATATTTGAAAAATCTTTCTTCATCGTCTTCAGGCTCCTTAAAAAGTGTGTGAAACTCTCCCTCCTTTTTTCGTTTTACGCTCATCGGATGAACAGCAAACCTTTCTTCTGCATATTCTTCATTCTCTTTTTCTTCTAATAACATTGCTACAGCAGCAAGCGCTTCAGTCGAAAAAAATGGTAGTTCTTTGGTCTGTAGGTTCGGTCATAGACCACCACCAACGGCGCCACTCACACGGTCTCGGCCTCGATCTATCGTCTCGACCTCACACAGAAGACTTCACAGAGGCCGAAGGTACTTGAGTGCAGCAGTTGGCGATTATAGCCAAGTCGGCTGTGTTTAGAAGGCGAGAATCAGGCTAATGCTGCTAGTACCCTTGCTGTCATCGACGGTGTTCCATTAATGATTTGTGAGAGCTCGTCGGGTTGACGAGTCTACTGTCGTTGTTGACTAGTGATGGGTGAGATCTTGTCGGGCTGACGAGTCTGCTGTCGTATCATTTCTTCTTCTTAACATTAAAATTCTTTTACAACGTTCAATACCCATCTTAGATTTATCCATGATTCCACGATCCAGGAATGTTTCAGAGTCGACACCACTTCCTTCCCTCAAGAGTACGAAGAGTGCTTTGGTTCCTGGTTGTGGCCCAGGCTTTTGATTGTTGGGACCGGCAACTGTAGATACTTTATAACTCAAACGCTTCCTACCTTCTGGTATAAAGGATGAATAATGTATCCGTAGTCACATTCTTAAATCCATAGGGTTAGGGATAAAAGAGGCGGCCACAAGGCCTTCTGCACCTCGACCTGAATAGTTCTTTGATGCTCCCCTGTTTTTATAACTCACTGGCCAGCTTCAGGTTGTTAATCAGCCTCCATAACTTTGCCAGCGGCTCCTTAGTGTAGGATCTTGCTTGCTTTGTTCCTGTCCTAGTTGGAAGAACCTGTAACTACATAGACCTTCACTGAAACGATGTAAAATGTGTTCTGCGGCCTCCTCCTCTTCCTGGCAGTATTTGCACAGTGTTTCTTCTGTCTGTATTTCTATCCAATGCATGTGCCTTCTTAGGCGGCAGTGTACAGGTTCAGTTGCAGTTGCCTTACAGAAATTCCATTGAAAGTTTTGAGGATGGCCCTTCTATGAATATCTTCGCGTGCCTCATGCCTGTGGTATTGTTCCACCAGGTTTTGAACTCATTAAGGATCCACTTTAAGATATATCCTCTTTTGCTATCTTGATGCTAAGGCACAGTAGGTTCAGGATCGAGAGAGTCCGTGTTGACTCCCTCTTTGGTCAACAAGTCAACCTTTTCGTTGCCTCTATGCCCCAAGTCCCAAGGAACCATGCCTGGTCACGTCATTAGTGTCGCTGACTTCCGTCTGGGCCTCCATGCAGTTCCAAACACTCTTTGCCTTCACCTCGCATGAGGCTAGGCATTTAGTGCTGCCTGAGTATCAGAGAAGATGTCTATCTCCCGGGAATGTATTCCTAGCCTTTTTATTTTCCTAGCGCAGTGTTCAATCGCTATGATTTTAGACTGGAAAACTAGCTTATTACCTAGGTTTACCGTCAGTTCGGTCTTTGGATTCATCCCGAAGACTCCAGCTCCCGTGCCCTTGTCAATTTGGAAGCCGTCATTGTACCAGTAGGAGTTTGCGTTGCCCTCCACTGTAATCTTTTTTATTCTTATATAATTATTACATATTTTATTTTATTTAATCTTCTTTAATTTCCATTGTTTATTTACATGCCCTATCCTTGCAAATGGTTGTCCATTTATGAGACTGTGGGCTGCTGCTCTGGCTTCTCTGTGGATAAAAATCTGAAGTGGTGGGAGGTTTGCTACCTCCAGGGCCGCAGTTGGCGTTGTACTCAAGGCTCCAGTGACACTGAGACAAGATTGTCTTTGGGTGCCACTTCATAACCTGATTGCTTTGGTCTGCAGAGTCTTGGTCCTATGGCAACAGACTGGACATAGGTCTTAAGACGCATGTTGGCATGAGGGGCTTTACGACAATTGCTAGCGTACCTCCCAATCCGTTTCCAGGAATTTGAATTTAAGGTTTCTTTACTTGAAAGGTGAATTGATAATGTAGATTGTAGGAGAAAATTTAGTCCAATAAAAAGTAGTTTAGAAACAATCAATACTATAATTATAATTATATATAACCTATCCGATTTGTGTTCCTGGGGTTCCTGTATGTTGTTTCTGTGAGAGAGGGAGGGTTCAAATCAAATTTAATGTGCCTGTGATAAGAGTTTGATGGTTCCCTGGATACATTCCAGTTTAAGATATATTCGTCAGCCCCTTGGGAAGTAATTGTCAGGTCTGAGACTTCTTGCTGACATCGGGTGATGAGGTGGGTTCCGTGCCTATGTTAGCGATGTTTAACCCTTCACCAGTTAGGTAATCTGATAAGGACTTACCTCGGTTGTTGATGTCTGTATGTAATATGGTGGGCATCACATCCATGACTAGTTTCATATTTTGTTTCCTGGAGTACCTCTCAATGTCTCTACCTGATGAGCAGATTAGCCATCTTCTTTCTCTGCCCGCAGTGTTTGCTGTTAGGATTGCTGTAGCAAAGCCGCTGGAACATAGTTCGGTATTAGTGTGGAGCTAATTTTTGTATTGAACACTATACAAGCCCGGAGTCTTGTTGATCCTCTGGTATATTACCTGTGTCTATTGGGGTTTTATTCCTCTCACAGACCCGTTGAGTTCCTTTACAAGGCAGCTTGATTCGTATGCATCAATAAATTATAAATCCTGGGATTTCTGTGACTGCAAGTTTTAACTCATTGCTGGTTTTTGGTGTTTTCTTCACTGTTACATGGTTCAAGTTGTGTTGTACCATTTCAGTGAACCTTGCCCAGTCAGTGTTTCGACGGTTCCTATATGGCATAGGGTCTATTATTCTGATTCAATGTCAAACCTTATAATTCTGAGGTCTGAAATAGAATCTTCATCAGAAACCCTCCAATAACTTATTACATTACGTAGGGTATAGCTGCAAATGGTAATATCCAATACTTGTCTCGATTTGGTGAAAAAAGAGAGGGTTGACCGTATAGTAAGATCTAATCCAAAAATTTTATGAATGACTCACTTCGCTTGTTGTTGCTTCCGCCGACTTTATAGGGTGGCGTTGGCATCATATCCTACAAATAGAGGGAGGTTCTTCTCGCTGCAGTAGTCAGCCAGTCTCCGCAGTTCTTCTGGGGGAGGGTGGTCCTCCTCTCCTGGGAAGTAGGCCGATGCTACCACTGCCTTTAGTTTCTTCCCATCCGTTGTTATCTCTATTTTGATAGGGACTACGTCTTTGGACATAAATTCTGCAAAACAGATATAATTAGGGGATTTTTCTGTCTGGAATCCATTCAACCTACCGTCTTTGCAGGACAAACCTCCGATTTGTCCCTTCCACTGCCAGTGCTCCTGGATGAGAATTGCGCATAGGTGTTATGCGGTGAACGTCCTAGCTGTTACTGCCGAGGCAGCTTTGGCATGATGGATGTTTACCTGGGCCATTCTCATTTACCCCATGTAATTATTCTTTTGGGGGGAGGAGGAGGTGACTCCTCACTCAATAGCTCCTCCTCCATTAGCATTTTTACTTCTGGATAAAGGGGAGGGATCTGGGTCCCCAGAAGGACCATGTCAATCTCCATCCCAGCATTTTCTATGGAAGTAGTCTCCATAGGTGGTGGGACCACTACAGAGGCTTGCTCCTTTAGGACTTCAGAGCCCCTTAGCCTACTCGCACCGTACTAAGACATGGACGATCAATTGTGAACCATCAGGTCAGGCCGGCGACGAGCTTTTCCCAGGGTTCACTACAGGGGGTTGGTTTTTGAACTCCTGAGTTTTCCTTATTAAATTCCTAATAATTCCTTTGTTCTCCTGTAGCGCTATTTTTTTTCACTTATGCTTATCGCCTGAATCATTCCTGAATTAATACGGTTATGATCTTAAATTAAGAGATATGATTACTTTTCTAACCACGAATACTTTAGAAGTCTAGATTACGGGTATGGTCTTGATGAGAAAAGAAATTCAGTTGTTAGTACCAAGCTTTTGACCTTTTTTAAGGTCATTATCAGGGCAGAACAATCTACAGTGTGTCTACAGATTGATATAATTATGTTTCTCACGAACTATTTCAAATTTCTTTGAAGACCAACTCAGTCCCAACATTCACAGGACTGTCCATAAATAATTAATATTTTAAAGAATATACACTGATGGACATAATAAACGCACCATTCTTAAATTTTAATGTATTCTCTTCAATTTTACATATACACCATATGTAAATTTTTATGTATTTGTATATAAATCAGGCTTATTCATATTTTGCATGCCAAAAATATTTTTTGTTGTAAAAATAAGACATTTAAAAGAAAATGTTTATTACCTAATTAACAAAAATCCAATTATTGAGTAAAGAACAAAAAAAAAGTAAAAAATATTTTTTGTCTCCTTTAATACCGAGCATTTCCATCTCTGGCACGAATCACGTCCTTTAAACGCCTTTGCATTTCTGGCAAGGCAAAGATTTCTGATATTCTGAGGAATTCATTCCCATTCATCAAGGATAGTCGTTCCCAACTCTAATAGGACCAGGGTTTCGCCGCCGTACTCGACTTTTAAGTTGACCCCAATTGTGTTCGATTGGGTTCAAACCTGAACTTCGAGCAGGCCACATCAAGCTCTCAATTCCAATATCATTCAGGTAGTCATCCACAATATCTGCTCTATGGGGCCTAGTATTATCCTGCATTAGCAAGAATTCTCACCGATGTGGGGGGGTAAATGGCACCCCATGTTCTCCGTTTATGTCTTGTACCTTTGTGAGGTTAGAGATCTTCTTCGCACAACAACCAACCGGTGCGGGCGTCCACCACAGAACTTCAATGACCCACCATGGAATGCCACTCAAGGAACCATGGCGTACCTTTCTCATGAGCGTTTCAATATGAAATTAAGAGGCCCAACCTTCCCATTGTAGAGTGATCTACACTCAGTCTCCTGGCGACTTCGGGCTGGCTGTATACTTCCTCTATATTGTTATGATCCGGACACTGTCATATTCACTTAAATCGCTTACTGGAGCCATTGAAAAGGTTTAAGAATAAGAATAATACGAAATGAAATCAATGAAGGTAAAAGGAAAGCGATCATTAGCGATAGCAGAATGGAAGAGCATATTTCCAAATGTGCAAATGGGATTAATCAGTACAAAAATAAACAAAGCATTATTTACTGTTTATTTTGACCAGGACAGGTCCTAATTACCTGTAGCTATGTAGAAAGATAACGGATTTAATTTTAAACTGTGTTATGTTTTAGTATTATTATCATTATTTTTTTTATTATGTTTATAGCTTTCATTTATTTCTAATGTAAGTACATGTAAGGGGGCTTAAAGCTCTATTTGTACTTTTAAAATAAATAATTTTTTCTATTGTTTCCTTTCGTGACGTCCACAACGTAGAGATTTCTTGGACGGGCGCCTCGCCCGGTTTTCATTCACGAATATGCAACGAAGAATGGATATTGACGAATGAAACCAAAAAGAATCTCTTAACTTTTTTAGTGTATTCTTTCCGTTCTGAAATTTCGTAGTTTTTTCATTTTCCGCTGATAGTTTTTATTTGCTATTTTTAGTGTCGCAATCGTTAAGGGCAGGAGGTTCAACACGAGATGTGTTCCGTCTACACTGGTTCAACATACGGTAAACAGTAACAGAAAGGGAGAGTGATTGCGATTTGATTAGAGAATGAGTGATAATCCGTGAATATCTTCTCATTCAAAGCTGTTCCTCCGGAGGATTTTTCATTTTATACCTAGACGTAAGTAAAATAAATGATCTGCTCCGAAAATGGAAGGATCACTGAGCAAATGGACGAACGTCATGAAAGGATGGCAATATAGGTGGTTTGTCCTGGATGATAATGCTGGACTCTTATCTTATTACACGGTGAGTGGCACAATCTGCTCGATAGCTATTTTATTTTCGCTTTACATAAAAGTCTCTTTAATATCTCTAAACCGGGCTTCTCTTTTGCCAGCTCAATCCCAATCGAATAGAACCTTTTCCTTTTTTTACCACAAGATAAATTCGATGTTTTGAACGATATTTTGTTTACAAAAAATATCTCAAATTTGACAGATCCAATGATATTTGATAAGTCGTTAGAGTTAATTACCTAACGTCATAGTTAAACTAAAGTCTAGTTTTAAACTAAGAAAATTGCTCTCTGATCGTTTCAACTCGTCAATCCTTGACTCCCTCCTTCTCGTTACATAATTATAATTTAATTTAGTCGAGGAAGAAATGGCGTTTTGTCTATTCAAGCCTTTAAACAAATTCTCTCACTTCCTTCGTAAGGTAGTTTCAAGTTATTTACTCTAAAAAAACATAGTCATATGTTTAATTCGGTTTGTGTGGCATGACCATGACTTTGTTGTTAATATGAAACAATCATGTTACAGCTGAGAAGTTTCAAAATGTCTCAGGTGTAGTCAGTATTATTATCAAAACAACCCATAAACTTTTCCTTTAAACATCATCGAAAGTATATTATTTCTCGTAAATTGACCTCGGAACTATTTATTGGAAAGAGCAAGTTGAAAGTCAACATCGTACAGAATTTGGAATTCACCAATTTTCTAAATAATCGTGGTGAATGGTTTTCTTCTCTATTGCCGATTACAAACTAGTAGTTGTTCAACGTACACTTCATCAGACTTAATCGTTTAAAGCTTTGTGCATTGGTGGCAGGTGATATGATTTTTGCAATTCCTTAGTTTGGTTCAGTTGAATTGATTTTTCTTTTAAAGAAGAAGGTCATTGAATATCATTGCTCTGATTCTTTTCCCTGAGTCTTCTTGGTACCCTAGGTTATATTTCCATTGAGCAGTTGGATACTGCATCATGAAGATGAGGATACTAGGAACCAGTGGTTTTGCATTTCCTAAAGCTAGTCCCAACGAAGGATGGTTCTACTTACAGATTTTAGGAAGAAATTTGTGAGTAGAACCATCCTATACAAAAAGTGAATAGACATACTCACCCCACCTTTATTATTACTATCAAGCAGCATTCTTTCTGGCTTATTGTACTTTTCCTAGTTTTTTTTTCCTTTTCCTAGTTACTTCAGTTCTCTCGACTCGATTCTTCTTTTAAGAAAAAAGTCATTGCTTTTTCTAAGGTTAATACATGAGTTTTTTCTCAATTGAGTCGTAGCTTGCTGCATGATGATGATGATGAAGATACTACAGTGTGGTCATTCTGTATTCCCAAATGTAGCCGTCTGGTTTATTGAACTATTCCTAGTTACTTGGTTAGGTTCAGTCGACTCGATTCTTCTTTTAAGAAGAAAGTCGTTGATTGTCATTGTTGCAATTCTTTCCCCTTGATCTTCTTGGTACCCTAGGTTATGTCTCAATTGAGCAGTTTGGTGTTGCATGTTGATGATGGTACTAGGGAGCACTGGCTTTGTATTTCTAAAAACACCCCACTCATCTGGCTTTTTGTACTTTTCTTAGTTTCTTAGTACAGTTTGATTGATTCAATTCTTCTTTTATGAAGAAAGTCATTGACTGTCATTCTTTTTCCCAGGTATTATTTATACCCTAGGTTGTGTTTCCATTGAGCAGTTTAATGCTGCATGATGATGATGATGATGATGATACTAGGGAACATTGCTTTTGTATTTTACAAAGTTGCCTCCTATTTTCTTCCACTTTTTGTAAAGGATGGTTCTCCTCACAGATTTTAAGAAGAAAATCATTGTCATTCTTTTTCTTAGGTATTATTTATATCCTAGGCTGTCTCCATAGGACAGTCGCTTGATGATGAGAATACTAGTAAGCTGTGATTTACATGATTAAATATTTTTCTGAGCAAATATGTGTTTTGGGTAATCATTGCTTAAAGTATCTGCCCAAGAGATGGTATTAAAAATAGTTTATAGCTATAAAATTATTGAATCAGCAGTATTCAATTTAATTTTTAAACTAAGTTTGTGAAAATATTATTGAATGAAAATACTATGCAGAATTAACAGAACATTTTGATAAACCTTTTTTAAACAATGCATTGAAACAACTTGTTTATTTTAAAATTGTCTATTTATCTCAATTATATTGGCACATGTTTTGTCTCTATCACTTATCACATATCTGTCTCCTTTACCAAAAATTTTAGATAATAATTTTCTGTTTATTTATTTTTAAGTGTACTATGGCTTTATTTATTTTGAGTAAAACAATAATAAATCTGCAGCTTTCATGTTTTATTTTTTATTTTTTTGATACTTTCGATACAAAATCAGAATAGCCAATTTAAAGAGAAGAAATCGGTTTAAATGTTATGCAAGCAAATGATAAATAGTGATGTAATCACTTTCATTACTTGGCAAAATTCCATTCCAAGATAAAAACAACTGATTGATAAATCCTGTTAAACTCAGGGTAGTTTTAAAATAATAATAATAGCAATATTTTATGGTTTGTTTAAAAAAAGTAAAAATTTAAACAAAAACATTGTTTATATATATTAATTTTCCAATGTAGTTTTCTTGAGCAAAGAACATTTTCTATAAAATATATGTGTAACTAATAATCACGTGAGTTAATTGTTGATGTCTGAGTGGTGATGTCAAAGCTAAAAGTTTTCCACCTTCAAGTCAAAATAACTTGGTCTAGGAATACTTAGCATATCTCCAGCTCCTGGGAAAATGTAAAAAAGTGACTGATGCAGTGGTGAGGACATGAGGGGATAGAAGGCGATGAACAGGCTGACAAATTAGCAGAAGCAGGATCAGCCTTCAAACCATTTGAACCAGAACTGCAAATTGGCACATGCCAAAACATGCTAAATGCAGAACTGACTACACTAGCTAAATTCACCAGGTGCAAAACGATCAAAGTTTCTCTACAGCTTAAATTGGGAAAACAAAAACCTCTCTCAGCAGGCAAGAATTAAAATGAAAATAATAAGCCTTTATACTGGCCATTGCCAATTTATTTACCACATTAAACAAAAACTGAGACATAAACCTGCTGACTCTGCCATGAAACTGCATAGACCCAACCAGTCGATCCTTTTCCCCTTAATTTCCACCACTAAGTCTGGCAATGAGTGCAAGATCTTGTTTTCCAGTTTGGGACAAATATTCTTCTCATTACTTTCTCTCCTAAATTCTAATCATGTTGCAGTCACTCTGGCTACCTAACCATGCTTTACTTGCATACAAAATGCATGAACTTATTCAACAGAAAGAGAAATTTGCTACCTGCAACTAATCTTTCTTTTACTTCACTTTTTACCGCTCGCTGCTTTGTGAATATGGTGCCAAAATACTTAAATGTGTTTACATTTTCAATGATTTTCCCATTTATTTCAATAGTTTTCAGCCAACATTCTGTTATCAAACCTTGAAACTAGCAATTACTTAGTTTTCTTATAAATTACTCTTAACCCCTCAGACTTTGTCATTCTTTCTAGTTGTTCATGGGTCTCTTCTAATGCCTTAACCAAATTGCCAAACCACTAAAAGTACATTATCAGCATAAGCCAAGTATTGTCTGTATCGATTGAAAATAATACCATTTTGGTTAATTTCAATATTTCGCATTACTTTACATTTCGCAAAGCTAAGGTTAAGCAGGATGGGTGACAGAATGTCACCCTGTTGGAGCTCTCTATTAATATTGAATAATTCAGAGCAAACACCTATAATTTTTACTTTAGCTGATCTGTTTTGTAGACACAACTTTACCAGGTTGATTAGTTTATTGGGGATAACTAACACTTGCAGAATAGCATGAATCTTCTGCCTGGACAGTCTGTAGTATGTATCAGTCACAAAAAGTAGATATGGTCAACAGTCTGAACAATTTCTGTAGAAACCTGCCTTGTACTCCCCTCAAATTATTTTTTAGTACAGGGTTAATTGTTTATGACAAGCTTTGCCATAATCTCTTATAAACGATGGGAAGCATTCAACTCTGTAATTTTTATGAAGATGGGTGTAATTGACCACTCATAAGGAAAGTTATTGCATTTTATTATATTCTGTATAATATTTTTGAATTCTTGTGTTTATTTATTTATGTGTTTCAGCACCCCCCCCCCCCAGCTTGTAAACAGTTCTCAAAAATGTTCTTTGTTGAATAGAACTACTGTGCAGAATACTTATATATAATTAATAAATTCATAAATACTACTGTTACCTTTTTCATAGCATATTTTTATTTTGAAATATAATTTTTAGGTTTTATGAAATAAAAATGTGCAATTCAGTAAACTAATATTAAAACCAACGGTAATAGTAAAACACAATTTCATATGAATCATTTATTTTTCTTGTAACTCTGTTTATAAAATTGAATGAACATATAGAATACTATTGTTACATTTGGTATCAATAGAATATAAAATAGTTTGGGCACTGAACAGTCGGTCATCACATTTTGGACAGCATGCAATAGTATGATTGTGAACTGCACCTAAAACATTTCAAATTAAATTAAATACTTAATATAAATGAAGTTCTTATTTATATTTATTAATAGAAGATAAAATTGAGATTTTTTCCACTACAGTATCGTGGCGATAAATTTTAAATAAAGATTTTGAACTTTAGTCTGTAGCTTCTTCTTTTTAACTGTTAGAAAGTTCAGTCCTCAATGATTTTACTGTGCATAGGATAAAGTAAGGCCTTTTTATCTCTGTGTTAACAAGATAAGACTATTACGAGAACACAAGTTGTAAGGTAAATTGTACGTATAACTAAAAAAATTGTAAGAACAGTTCTCTAATTGGAGTATTATACTAACGAAACTTTAGACAGTATGTATTATTATTAAGATAATTTAATTTTTAGTACCCACTAAAACATAATTTTTCATTAATTTAATAAATATTGAATTCTTACCATTTGTATAATTGTGATGTATTTTTTAATGATTGTTAAAAGTTTGATCAATTTTAGGCTTCCGATGGCTGTACCAGTATAATAAGTGTACATAAAAATGTGCACCAAGCAATTCAGTATTATATAAAACGAGACAAATTGATCTGAAATTTGTTAAAATATACATAATTTAATTGACACTTTGGCTATTCCTATTAAAAACAATGTTTTCAAAAATTTTATTTACCTGCTCCATATTTAGTCGCCATCCACAACAGGAGGAATGTTGATGTATGATGGTAGACATGCAATACAGATACTTGTGATTGTTTCTTTCTCATGACGAAAAATACCTGAAACGTTATCAAATTTAAATTTCGAAAATGCTCTTAATTTCTGTACACTACCATGGTGGTATTGGAGTGGACTACATATGTAAGAAACAAACTATCTGAATGTGTAAATTATAAATGGTTTTGATTAAAAAAGAAAACTACATAAAGTCAGAACGGGACTATTTACAAAAACTTAATGACTTTTGTGATTTTTTGACTCTCTTAAATTTCCAAAAATAAATTGTAACATTTTGTAGTTTGGCCTGTTGCCATCATATTTAATGAAAACTGTGAAATACCGATGGTCAGGGACAATTAAGCTGCTTGAATCTCCCATTTATTAATTTTCCCAAGAATTTCTTTTTTGTAGTTTTTATTTTTATTTTCTGTGAATAATATTCATTGTTCTTATTAATGGAACCAATTGGATTATTTGATCTCCACTAGACTTTTGAAAATCTCTCTCTCTCTCAAAAAAAAAAGAAGAAGAAGATAATTGTCGCAATTGCAATTAATAATGGATCTTAAATTAAATCCGTACCTTAATCTTAAAAAAACTTTAAATCCGTTTGTTAGAAACATTTGAAGATTTTAAAGAGTCAATGCTAGCCTAAACAGATAGGAAATATTCATATTATACTTAAAAATAGCAGTACTAAATAAAAAATAATAATGAATAACACAAAATACAAGTCAGTAGTCTCATTGTGCCTGTGTTAAAAACAAGACAACATAGTGTAAATATTTGCTGTAATGCATTGTAAACAAATTATTAGGCAGTAATTTTTATTTATTTTATAGTGACAAAAATAGTCTAGATTGTGTCAGTAGTGAAATGTTATCATTCTATAATGTATAAATATAAACCAATTCTATAAATTACACTACTTGTACTTAGTGTATGGAAGTGCAAGTACTTCTTCCATCATTAAGGTGTGTTATTTTCAGACATAAATCTTTCTGTTTTAAAGTTTAGATATGATAAAAATTTTAGCTAGTCATGTTAAATTAAAGTTATGAACAAATATCTGCAATTTGTTGAAATTCCGTATTATTTTCTTTTACAGGAAATTACTCTCAATGAAAATACAATATGCCATATTGTATACATTTTCATCCAAGAAATGGCTTTGAGGAATCATTAATTGATACAAAAACTTAATACCTAACCTATGAAAACATTTAAAGGTTTTAAACTGTAGTTTTAATTTACTCAGTATTTTTGACTTAAGTTACCTCACGATTCAACATTTGAAAGCAACTTGAATAAGTTTTTTTGCACACGTTTCAATAAAAAATTATTAACTTTTGATTTGCAAACCATTGAATGTTCTAACCATCTTAATTTTATTTTTAAAATCAGCAGGAAGTCAAGCAATTTTAATTTCTTTTACAGTAGAATTCAAAGCATTTTCTCTCACCTTTATTTTTATACTGACCAAGCTGTGTCATGATTAGGCTATCGGGTTTATAAATTATAAATTTGGCAACTTTTGTGCCAAAGACGAATAGCCTTCCCTGGTAATCTTAGGTAATGAATTAATTTGGCAATAGTAAATCCAGAAATTTTCATTTCTTTGTTAATAGAACAAAAAACATCTTTCAAAAGGATCATTTACACATCAAAAGGAAAATTTATATTATAAAAGTTAGTAATGCTTATGATGAAATTTGAATGATTTTTAGTATCACAACCCCCGTCAAGTAATTTTTGTTTTTATCAGTTTTATATTGCTAAAATGTTCAAACGTTTCATATCATGTTTCAATTTGAAAGGAATGACTCATCACTTGAATGACAAAAGTTTGATGGATCAAACTAAAAATGTGATAGGCTCTGTTGAACCAAAGATTCTCATAGCAGATTTTGTTCAACTTTAGTTGATCAATTAAGGTTGAATCATGTGAACATGCCTTTTTGTACAAAACCATCAACAGGAATATATTTTTAACTTTTTTATTTATCAGTATGCATTTTTATCAAGAGGCATATATAATTTAATAAGTAAATGCATTATCTCTATTAATTTTTTATTGGAATCATGAGAATTTAGGTAATAAAATCAAAGTAAATTGCAAATAAAAAAGGAAGGTCACTTTTTCTTGGCTAAATATTATACATGTTCAATTAGTGTTTGAATTTAGTTGCACAAGTATTTGAATAAAAGGGAAAATATTACGTTTTGTATAATAATTATTAATTGAGGAATTTTTTTAAGCAAAACTTAATTATTATTATTAAAAAAAAAAAAAATCAATATGAACTAAAAATAAGAGTAACATAAACTGTTTGTATAAAACATACAAACAACCAGTTATCTATGATAATAATAAGTAATTAATTTTATTCAAACATATATTTGTAAACACTTAAGACAAGTGAAACTTATTGTAAAAACTTACTGTTTCAACTAGCTCGAAGATTTTTAAATTCATAGTCCACCAGTAACATTCCAGTATCTATAAAATAAACATTTGTAACTATATATGGTATATAGCACTAATGGACAAAACAAATGCACCACCCTTAAATTTTAATTTATTTAGGTTTATTAATATTTTACATACCAACAATAGGTTTGATTGTAAAAATAAGACATTTAAAAGAAAATGCTCATTACCTAATTGTAAAAAAACAATTGTTGAGTAAAGAAAAAAAAATAGAAATGAAAATGTAAAGAAACATTTTTTGTCCCCTTTAATACCGAGTATTTCCACCTCTGGCTCGAATCACGTCCGTTAAATGCTTTGCATTCCTTGGAAAAGATTTCTGATAAAATCCTGAAGAATTCTTTCCTATTCATCAAGAACAGCCATTTCTAATTCTTCTAGAGTTTTAGGTCCTGGGTTTTGATGTTGTACTTGTCCCTTAAGTTGATCCCAAATGTTTTCAATTGGGTTCCTATCTGGACTTCATTTCACTTGGCCACACCAAGCACTCAGTACCAACCTCATTCAGGTAGTCTTCCACAATACATGCTCTATAGGGACTGGCATTATTCTGCATTAGCAAGAAACTCTCACCAATGTGGGGGGTGGCAAATGGCACTACATGTTCTTTGATTATGTCTTGTAAGTATCTGTGTGAAGTTAGAGATCTTCCTCACACAACAACCAATTCAGTGCGGCTGTCCAAATGCCATCCTCAGAACATCAACGATCCACCATGGAATGCCACTTGAGGAACCATACAGTATGGGGCATCTCCATATGAAATTACGCCAATCTGAAGATTGAGGCCAACTCTCACCTCATCTACAAAGGAACTCGTCCCCAATCTTCCAATATCCAATTCACATGTTCCCATGCTAATTGAAGCCTGGCCATTTTCTGGGTTGTATAAGAAGAGATCCACGAGCCAGTTGTCAGGCGCTGTGGTTATTTCATTGAGCCTTCTTACAGTCCTGGAGGAAATCGAATCATTTCAGACTTGTCTTATCAGATTTCTTATCTCATTTCCTGTAATGCTCTGGTTTTGTAGAGCCTGATGGTGGATGAATCTATCATCTCTCTCATCTGTAGTCCTAGGTTGACCCTGTCCTGGCCTTCTAGTGAGATGCCCTGTTTCTCTGAAGCGCTGAAGAACCCTTCCTATTGTAGAGTGATTTACACTGTCTCCTGGCAACTTCACACTGGCTGAATCCTTTTTCTTGTAATGTTATGACCCTGACACTGTCATACTCAATCAAATGCCTGACTGTGGCCATTGAAAACGGTTTAAGAATAAGAGTTATAAATCTTAAAAGTACTGAACAACAAACCCAAAAGCTATGTTTATTTGATTTAACAAAAATGGATTACTTACATTATCATTTGGTCTGATTCGTACTGGTGTGCATTTTGCTATAGTTATTAAATTCGTTCCATGTAAGTACTGAAATATAAATAATTAAATGGAATTAAATTTCAGTGTAAAGGAAGTCAATAAATGGTATTTCAAAAAATTAATGTGACAAATGGAATCATTGTTTTATTTTGATTTTTAACCCTTAGGTTACTTTTATAAAACCTAGTATCTTGAAAAATTAGGTAGCAATTTTATATGTAAATTCTTAACTTGAAAAGTAAAAATTTAGAACATAAGGAAATCTTTATGTCGTGATATAATTGATAAGCCTTTTTAATATTATAATATTCTTCTCAAAAATTAGGCCAATTTGAAAGAAACCCTCAGTTCCTTTGTCAAGCTTTCGAGTAATCCCTTACATCAGGACTTCCCAACTTTTAATAATAATCCACAAGTCCAATATAGAATTAAGCCAAATCTGATGTAATGGACGGGTTATAGATCTTGCTCCCCTATCTACCTTGAAACAGTAAGGTTCAGTACTGAAAGTAAGTCTTGTAATTATGAATTACTAATAATAGTATCAAAGTCCTGATGTAGTTCTTGAAAGCATGACGAAGGACATGTTTTTTCTTCTTTCAAATTTTCCTTATCCCTAATATTTAAATTAGAATTCTTTTTAAATTATTAAGTCTGATTTCCTTTATCAATATTCATTTTGAATACAAATTTATCTTTCATTCTGTTTCATGTGTTCAATTTAGTGTTAAATACTTTCCTGAGGTAGTTTAAGAATTAAAAATAAATCTTTTTTAGAAGTGAAAATGATTTGATTGATTAAACTTTTGAACTTTATTTATTCACGTCTACCAACCTTGTACACAAGAAAGACGCAACTCATTATCTGGATAACATTATAAATCAGTATAATTTGTTTAAGTTCAAACGGTTTCCTGTTTTTCATTATGGCTGGACCAATAAATTTAACTATTAAGACATACAGTACTGACATCGCCAATACAGTGCGCGAGTTAGCCATGAGTGGCCAATTGGAAGTACGAGGGTCTTCGGGAACTGTAACAGATAAAAGTATTAATGCTACTGATGGTGTATTAATATTAAATATAAATACCTCCATATATGTCAGCCAATTTGTGGTATCCACCATGTATAATGGAAACCAAAAAATCCATATTTTACCTAAAATCATTTTTTTTTGTTATAGAACACTTTTTAAAAAAAAACATTTATGCAAATCAATGAGAGTATGAATGGGTTTGAATCTAGGAACTGTATGTGTTGGGTGCTGAATTGACTTAGCTGATGACAACACCCAGAGTCCAACCTCGGCAGCTGGACAGATAAGACCGAGGTCTGACCCTGGACTGCCAACACCCGAGGTGGGTGATTCTCGAGGCTTGCCGCTAATTTATTGTAAATTACAAACTTGGAATTGCCAGTTCACATACATGTGGGGATTTGAGCTTATATAAATTCAATTTTTGCAAATCAAGCTTCATGAATTTTTTTTAACTGTGACTAATTTTTAAACATTTTGTTCAATCTTGTTGATAAGTAAGTTCTAATTTGACTTGATCAGGGCATGTTTGCTTCCGTTTTATGTATTTTATTTTTCTTTTTCCCAAAGGAGCCATTATTTAATTTTCCCCTTCAGAAATTAAAAATAATAAACTTATCGTTTGAAATGAAACTAAGTTAAAAAAAAATCGAAACATATAGATTTTTTTTGCTGATTTGGTAGAAATTGTTGTTAAATTTTCGCCTAGGCATACTTACGCTTTTTAAAAGACCCAAGTGCTCAATTGCCTTCACCCTCGGAAGTATAACTACTCCAGTTACTGTGCGTCGACTAAAGAACAATGTCTAGATTATTATAATTATTGTTTTAAGTCTATTGACCTTTCACACTGTTTTTCCATTTGAATTAAATATGACTATTATTCTTTTAATTTAATGATTTAATTATGGACATTTTATTAACACTAGATAATGTAATTGCTTTAGTATAGAATTTGCTCATTTTATTAGGCCTATATTTGTATTTTAATCGTCCTGACATCGCTAAAATGATATGTTTAACTGTTAGTTTTGATGATATTGATTTAATGACTTCATGGTTATTCATTTACGAAATAAATAACATTCATTTTAATTTTATTGCACAAATTAACTAAAATGAGTCTCAAATGAGATTTTTTGCAATTTAAAAGCACTTTATCTACATCTGTTAACATTCATAAAATAATACTGTTAACACATTTGGGTATAAAAACTTCGTAACCTTTTTTTTTTTATTCTTGAAAAGCTTAAGAAGTTTTTATAATTCAGATGACAAATATCCAACAAAAAGTAAAGCAAGAAATCTTAACATATTATTTTAAAATGCTTTTAAAATGCTCATACGAATTTCTATAATAATTTTAAAGAAAGCGTAGCGTAAAATGACGAGTTATAATTGCATTTAAATGTTAAAATATTTTTTTGAAGATGAAGTGGTACATGTAACAATGAAAATAATAAGTTCTTTATATTGTTTTCAGTCAAGAGAGAAAATGATGAGAGGAGTTAGAAGGGGATGTGTCAGATTAAAAGGAGCAGTGATTGGCATAGACGATGAAGACGATAGTACTTTTACCATAACGGTCGACTCTAAAACTTTCCACTTTCAAGCTCGAGATGGCGATGAAAGAGAAAAATGGGTTCGGTGTTTAGAAGATACAATACTTAGGCATGCTTATGGATTTAAGAGTTCAAGTTCAGTAAGTAATAGGTTTTTAAATTTCATCAGTCATCATCTAGCCCTCTGAAAACATTGTTTTCACCTTTTTCTAATGGGGAAACTGTTTCAGTTTCGTCTTGATGCCTATAAAAATATGTTAACATTACAGGACTTCGACAAGAAATTAGCAGAATCTGATTCGTATCTGCAGATGGTCATTGATCACACAAAGGTAAGGCATTTTTTTTTTACTGCCGTATTACTTACTAGCTACAAATTTAATTACTATTTTATTTTTTTGGTGATGATTTAATTTTCATTATAAATTGTTGGTTTGAATAATGGAACCTCATCAATATTAGAAGTTAAATTGGAAAGTAAGTCAAGTAAAGTTAGGTTTGTGTTTGTATCATTTTTATGTAAACTTATAATAAAGTAGTAAAATCTTTCTAAAACTTTACCATTTGTAAAGAAAAGAAAAGAAAACTTTGGTTTTTAAGAAATTTTTACTTTATTCATATTACACAGTGGTTGTTCGGAAAAATTTTAATTTACTGGCTTTTTTAATAATTTGTAAGTTATAATTGTTGTGCAATTTTTCTCTAACTTTATTGATATTTTGTTTAGGCTGTAGAAACTAAAATGTCAACTTTAACTGACCCTGATCTCAGAAATCGATGTGAAATAATTTGTCAACATGCAAATGTAAGTATGTTTGGTACAATAGAGTCTTTAAATTCACAAGATATTTAATTTTTTTAATTATGGTTTTTTGTGTAGAGCATGTTGGAACAAATGAAACATACAATTGTTCTTCTTCAAATAGCAAAGGTTGGTATTTTGTATGAATTAATTTAGTAAAATAAGAGTTGAACATGCTTTTTTGTTAATGTATGTCTTTTGTTAGAATACAGCTCATCCTGTTAATGGGACTTACCAACCGATGCCATTAACAGACTCTGACAATACAAAATCTATTGATGGTAAGTGTAACAAATTCGCTTTACATGTTTTTTTAAATTGCTTCGATAACTTTGCCATCGCAGGCGTTCCTTCAGCATACATCCCTTATAACAATTCAGTCGAAGTTGGTATCGAGATTGGCTCAGAATGTGAAGATACTCAACATTCTCGAATGCTCCCTACGGCCTTTGGAGGTAAGCAAATTTTTATGTTTTTAAAATATACTTTTCTACAATATGTCCATGCTTGGCTTTCACATGAGTTTTTTCCCTGTTTGATTTTTGATTAAGGAGTAACTTTTGGAAAAATAATTTTATATCCAGTAGTTACAATTATTTTATATTTGTTTTACAACATATGCATGTATGGTGGCAGTATTCTGGTTGTGACAACGTAACATTAATTAAACAAGTAATTAATACTAGGTGAACCATTAGTTGTTATCAACAATAAAAATACTTGCAGGGAATATTTTAAAAATTGGAACTAATATTATCCAAATTTGTGCCTAGATTGAAACATACATTTTGACAAAGTTGTTGAAAAAATGCAATATTAAAGCCTTGGCCAGACAGAAAGTGATCTGTTGCTTCTATCCTGATTTTGTCAGAACAAGTGATCCGGTTGTATAAAATCACAGATTGCCCTCTCAACACCTTTGGTTCTTTGAGGCACAGATTAAGTTTGTTCTAGGTTAACATTAATGATCAAACAAATATTTAAGTAATTAATTATTTAAATACATAATTAAGCAGTACTATTACTCTAATTTTTCTTTCTTCTAATTAGTTCATGCACTCAGATAGTTTTATTTCACAACACTAATGGTAGGAGTGGTTCCTTGTCTGAACTCATTAGTTAGATTAGAAAAGGAGTCTGCCTCTTTATGACCTGTGCAGTGTTGGTCTATTATGCATCTCCATTGTTTCTAGAGCTCCTCATGTCTAGAGCTTAAGGCTTTTTTAAAAGCCTTTTTAGCAGGTCCTAAAACTTTTTCAAGGTCTCTTGTTTGTATTCTCCAGGCCCGAGCTTTTCTTTCCCAAGAGTCTCAGCCTATGTAAGCTTTCGCACCAACAGAGGATATATTCCACTGTCTATTCTTCCTCCTCTATCTGCTTATTTCCGCTGCTCTGAGTCTATATGTGTATCTATGCTTCTAGAGTCTGCAGTGCTAGCAGTTCAACTATTATTGTAGTCTTAATATGTCCTAGACTTAGTACTTCTGTTGATAGTTTTTGCAATGGTCCTTTGATGAACTTTTTCACATTGTCTTGGGTTATATTCCCATTGATCAGAGGACTAATTTTTAATACTAGTCTAACAGATCCATGTTTTTGGCTGTTTAGTGTGCCACTAAAGGGTTCATAACAAATAAGTGTCATCGAACTTTACTTGGCCAATTTATTGGGCTCTTTGTTACCCCTCTGCCCTGTGTGCCCTGGTTGTTTACCAGACAAGGGTAATTTGTTGTTTTACCTCTGTTGTCTGACAGCCCTATTGCAATCCCAAATGACTCAGGACTTCACCACAGATGTAGTAATTGCCTTCAGTGCCGTCTGTCTGTCCAAATAGATGTATTCTGTTAACGATACTTAGCCTAATATGTAGTTATTTTGTGATCAGCCTTCTCAAATTCTAACATTAATTGAAAAATGATCGGGGATGAGGCCCAGGTAGAAAAACGTAGAGCACTCAATTCTATGTTGAGCTTTCGGTCAAATTTATTGCCTTCATCAGGACTTCAAATTGGAAATTAAGTAACAGTTGAAAGCATTGTGAGGACACCCGTCCAAGGGATGTGTGCAGGGATGTAACTACAATACTTAGCCTTCTAATCTCCTTGGTACAGTGTTCAATACCCTCAGTCACCGCTTGAAGCCAGTTTCATTTTGCCCAAGGCTTATAACAATTCCTTGGTTTATTTTTGTAAATATCAGCTCCTGGCCCATATTTGGTTTTGGAGCCATCTGTATACCAGATGTGGCCAGCATTATTAACTGGGATCTCTTTCTACCAGTCTGCTATCCTAGGTGGTTTAATTTGAAAGATTTTGTCAAATTTGAATTTAGTGGTCATGGCATCAACAGGCATCCGTAGAACGCTGTCTGTCTGAAGCTCCCCACCCCAAGCTTTAATTGCTGATAACACAACAGGGCACTTACTCACTCTCAATAACAATAGAAGGATAAAACGCTCTAAAAGAAAGCGTTTAGGCTGGACTGCTCATTCATTCTATCGCATTCTGTGTGATGATTGCTGGATCTCTTCCCACTGTGACAGATCACTTTAAGCCAAGCCAGGTTTTAACCTTTTAATTCATGCTAAAAATTCTTTTTATCGTGATATATTTTAAAAGTAAAGCAAATGGCCATTTTTGGTAAAATCACATGGATAAAAACTGTGCTTATCTAGTGTTCTCTTAATTTTATAAAATACATATTAGATATGATAGATGAGAATATGTTGGTCCTGCTCAACCACTGAAATATATTAATGTAACAATATGAAAATTTAAGTTTAATATGTGGGTAATGTTTAACACAAAATTATTCACTCTTTGCACGATGTGCCTATTTTATCTTTTTTTCCTGTGAAAAATTGAAACCAATTATTTGACAGTTTGAGAGATATTTGTACATTTTTCCAGTTTTAAAACAATTTAATAAATTAATAATTAATATTGTGCAAGGTTGTAATTAAATTTACATCTCTGTTATTGTTTCTGTATTTTTTCTATTTAAATATTGAATAATAAAAATACAAGCATATATGAACGATAATATAATGATATGAATTTTTTTTAAATAGCACTAAATTTGATGATTGGGGATACATGATAACATGGGCAAAAGTTTTAAGATTTAATGATTGTACATAAAATGCATGAAGGTTTGTGATCTGGACTTTGCATGATTGATAAAAGGTGTTTTTTCCTTTATAAATTGTATTATTTTTTTTAAATTTTAATATAGAGCTATTACAGTATTTATATTTTTTTACCTTGATGGCCTTGAGAATTATACAATAAGTTTTAAAAGTACTAAAAAATAGAATTCGCTTTCAATGAATTTGAACAACACAACCTCAAATCGTTTTAACATAATGGGCTAGCTATATAGTTTATATAAAGCTATGCATATTGTTGGATTGCCATAAATGTACATCCACAGTTTAAAACATTCCAATGTTATTTACTAAAACATAATTTAAATCGATTTTATGTGATATTTATACAAGTCCAACAATCGAATTAAAGGTCAAGCAAGGTAGTATGTTAAAAATAATTTATATTTTCAGAGGGTGTACATATATGTCTGATAAACCTGAGAGGAATAAAATTCAATTTGATCAGGATCAGAGTGTCTGTCATAAAAATACATTTAGAGAAGTTGCATTTCAGTAATTGTAATGTCATGGTATGAGAAGATGGCAGTAACATGTCACAACAAACCTTAAACAACCCCTAAAATGTTTGTCACACACAAAGACAAAATACATACAAAACACAAGTGGTACAATATACGATTGTCATAAATAATTATTAATTTAAAAAACCTAATGATCAATCTGAAGATATAGTGTGACATTATTTGCACTCGCAGACTTGATTATATGTAACCTAACCTTACTCTAATCTTATCTAACCTAACTCATCCCTAATCAAACCTAAGTTGTCCCTAACTCTAACTCTTCCTGTCCTTAACCTTAACCCTACATAATCTAATTTTACCTAACCCCCATCCCATACCCTAAATTCCACTCTAACTCTCCTAACTAACCTGCCCATAATCGTACCTAATCTATCCATAACTAGCTAGTCCATAATTCTAACCCTACCTAACTAACCCATCCGTAACTCATCCTTAACTGTAACCCTTACCTTACCTAACCTCACCTTCATCCAACCCATGCGCTCCCTGTGAGTGTCGAAAAGGGTCATAAATAAATTTCTGTATACTGTCCAAAAATGTATCGATGTTAAAAAAAAAGATATCAGGCACATGCCTTTTGGATAATCTAAACTCTCCTATACTAAATTAAAAATCAATGTTATTGGCAATTGTTTAGCTTCCACTCACACCATGAAAAATGTACATATAGTTGTGAATAATTTTTGCTCATTTTAATTGTTTTATTATCTGGAAACTCGTGATAGAAAATGATACTGTTACTGGCACCTTAAATACATATTTACGAATGTGAAAAAAATGATCTTACTTATTGTTTACATGTTGTGTATATAAGCGTATCATACTGTACTAATGAATTCATGGAATAATTGTTTGAACTAATTGGATTAAAACAACAGGTCTGATTGTGTGATATGTTGTACCAAAGAACTGTTCAAAATGTTGTATTTCAAAATAAATATTGTGTATTTTGGATTGGTAACAATCATGCTGCAAATTTTTTATAAATATACTTGGTGAAAAACTTTTTTAAACTTGTGAAATAGTCAATTATTAAAGTACTTTTATAATTAAAAGAAGAACAAAATTGTATAAAGATTTGAATCAGGTTTGTTTACTTTGTTCATTGTATCCATTAATCAAAGTGTGCCTATGCAAAATATTTGCTGGTTGGCAGCATAAAATAATGTAGAAATAAAAAAAAAATTGCACTTGAAGAAACATACATCTCTCACATGTTGTAAACAGAATTTTCTTAGTGAAATATAACTTTAAAAAATTTGAAACTGATTGGTTTCAAATTCATCTTACTTTATAATTCATATACTTTACTTCAGGTGCCAAAACTCCATCATACATTCTTGAAGATCTGCCAGTTGTTCTGCCATCATCACTATCAACTCCACGAGTAGCAGTCTCTGAAAAAGATATTATTCAAAGTCGTGTCCCTCGTTTTTTTTTTAATTTTGGTAATATCTTTCCTATCATTTCCTCATTTCCTCACTCTCTCTGTCTCTGTCTGTCTGTCTGTTTCTCTCTCTCTCTCTCTCTCTCTCTCTCTATATATATATATATATATATATATATATAACCTGTGTGAGTGTATATGAATGTATATATGTATGTTCATATTTATTTGTTTCATTGTTCTCAGTATTATTATAGAATATATAGTTTTAGTCTATGTAAATACTTACATTATTATCAAGTTTCGATAATACCGTTGGTAAGTATTTTTCTTGAACCTTTTAGTCAATTATATTCATACATATAATCTTAATTTTTATAAAACTAGTAACAGTCTAGTCATTGATTTCAAATATCAAAGTCTCCTACTGTATATAAATGCTTTAAAATTCATTCTTATTCAAAATTGTTTTTCAAATGAGTACTTTTATTGTATATAATATTAAAATTAATGAATTATCTATTCATAGTTAAATTGCTGTTTTTGAATGCCTTTTTTAAAAATAAAAGTTACCATTTTTACTGACATGGATCTTGCCAAATTTAAAGCTTGTTATGTTAAGTGCTTTTATATGCCTGGAAATTATGTGCATGTTTAAATAAAGTAGACACATTTTACAATATTGCTTGAATGCTTTATTCATCACTGCATGTACCCTGCATGGCTGCGTAAATTATTAATAAGTTGGAAGCTTTTTAGTTTTGCAGTACTATTTTCTTAAACTCACCTTTGTTCCCCCTATAATGTGTTGTAACTATTTGTAAAATAAGAAAGTTATGGTGAGGTACAATCTGTTGTTTTAATTAAATATACATATTTTTTTATTGTAGTGTCTCATGGAAACCTTCCTTTACCAGTGGTAGTACCAGAAACCTCTTATTCCAGCTCAGAAGAGGAAGATTTCTTCGATGCATATGATAGTAGTGAATCTTCAGCTGGAAATCCTGCTGCAAGCAAGGATGATCAAGTAGGGTAAGTACAATTTATTTGTTACATTCAATAACTTTCTTGATATGTGGAAAACCCATTGTCAAAAACTGCTGGTAAAAATAAGTCGAATATAGATGACATTTTACTTGGTTATATGCTAAGTTATATATTTTAAATTGGGTTGATAATATGAAAAATTCTTAATACATTCCGATCATACTTTTTTCTTCCAATTCATTTGTACCGAAGCTATTTCAGGAAATGAACTAAGATATATTGTTTAATACAATTTGAATTTCCATTAACAGTCTGTTTGTTAATAATGAATCATATGCGGTTAGAAATATATTGTATTTTGGTTTTGTTTTTATTTTTTATTTTATTTATTTATTTNTTTTTTATATACCAGGGACTGGAGGAGTTCCCTCTTGCAATACTAAAGCTACTACAAGCAACTTTGTTGTCTTTATGAATATTATAATATAAGAAATAACAGGAGAGTTACATATAAATAAATAATTTAGTTAGATAATAACTACATAACTACACTCCTTATAAAACATTCACGTTCCTCTCTAGGAGAGAAATCGCAAGGCCATTGGTGCTTTAGGTGTTTTAGATTTAGAGGATGGTTGGGAAGGATTTGGGAACGAGTTGGACTGGCAGGAGGATGAGGGTCCATCTGGAGACGTCTGTATCGACTTCTTGCAGTTTCGAGGACAAATAGGATTTAGAGGAGATCTGTGTGAAAGGTTGGATTCGAAGTAGGGAGCTTAAAAGCTTAAACAATGTTTTGAAGGGTTTTGGACTGGAGTGATTGGATTCTTTTGAAGTTGAGGTTAGGATGAGGATCAAGGTTTTGTGAAAGTATCTGTTTGTGTTTGTTTTTTTGTGAGATTTTTGAGTCTTTTGTGTAGTTTATATTGTCTATCCTGTTTTTTGTTTATTAAGTGTGAGGGTTTCAAGTAAGTATTTTATCGATGTTGAGTTCCAAAATAATGGACAAATTGGTTACTGGGAGAGGAATAAAGTTTTAATTGATTGAGGCAGAGTTGATACAGCAGATAGTGAAGGCTATTTGGTGACAGTATCATTTTGTTGAGTCTGATTCTCAATTTTTTTATATCCTTCTTCCATACATTACATTTCTGAAGGCCACTGTTGATTCTAGGCATGTGTACAGGAATGTCTTCAGTGTATATTGAATATAGAAAGGGACCAAGGATGCCTTGCAGAACTCATGCTCTGCCATGATATTTATTTGACATGATGTTTTGTATCTATTCAGAACATCTATATGAAAGACACTTGTGTCTACCCTAGGTATTTTATTTCTACATACCAACAGAAAGTACTGTACTTTTCTTGACAGAAAGCGTTATCCTCCATCCTCCCTCACTAATGTTTGATTCTTAAATCGAAGATGAGTCAAGTTCTCAAATAGTAGACAGCATTGATTGCTGGGAGAGGAATAGAGTTTTTATTGATTGGGGGAGAGTTGATACGGCTGTTTGGTGAGATATGGTTTTGGTATTGGTTGAGTCTGATTCTTCATGAATTGCACCATTCTAACAAAAAGGAGAGATGGTCCTGGAGGTTTCTGAAAGCACTGTTAGGTCTAGGTGTGAGTACTGTATAGGTATATAGCTACTGTATATCTATGGTAGGAATATCTAAAGTGTACGCTGAATATAGAATGGGACCGAGGAAGTTGCCTTGTGGGAACACCCGCTTCACCATGATATTTGTCTGACATGATTTTTTTTTTAATCTGTTCAGAACATCTTCATGAAACTCTTGTTTATGCCTTAGGTATTTTGGTATTTTATTTCAATGCTAACAGATTGTACTTTCTTTAACAGAAAGAGTTTTCCTCCATCCTCAAATGGATCGAAGATTAGTTAAGTTGTCAAATAGCAGATGGATGCTGGAAGAGGTTGTAATAGATTGGGCGAGAGTACTGTATCAGGGTTGATAGGATTGTTTGAAGTGTATACTGAATAGAGAATAGGACCAAGGATGCTGCCTTGTTGAATACCTGCTTTTGCACAGTAGATGGGGAGTGAAAAGATGTTGTTTTGTACCTGGAAAATATTCATCCACAAATCATGACTTTTGGCCATTACTAGCTTTATACATATTAGCTTAGCTTTATACAAGCAGCCAGGTGATGTCTGGGTAAAGTTTTTTAATTTTATCACAATCTGTACAAATTATATACATTATGTAATGAGGTACAATATGATTTTACCTTTTATTTTATTGTTTACATATAATCTGAGGGGAGCCAGAAACATAGTGGCTCTCTCACCCTTCTGAATAGTTACATACTAGTCATCTGATATTCCAACAATGTTTCTGAGGACTTTAGATTTGAAGGTTTGTATTCTTTAGATGTTGGAAGGTTTAGCGGTGCCCCTTAGTTCTAATCCATATATCTAAGTCAGTTTCAGTAGTGTTTTATAAAGTGCTAGTTTGTTTTTTGTTGATGTGTGATATTCTTGATAAAAAATTTGTATAGGGGTCCGAAGCATCTGTTTAATTCTTGTCTTTTAGTTCATGTATGTTGTTTCAAGGTTAGACGTGAGTCAAGATAGAACCCAAGGTAGCGTACAAAGTCAATTTTTGGGGTAGGAGTATTTTTGAGGAATAGTGTATGATGGGTTTTGTTTTGTGGGGTAAAATTAAATGGGTGCACTTGCTTCCTTTTATCATAAGGCACCAGAATTTTAGCCTAGTCCTCCATTTGGCTAGTCTATATGTGCCTAGTGCTCCTCCGAAGTAATTGCAGGATCAGAATCAGAGGATAGTACAGCTGTGTCATCGGCAAAGGAAGCTAGGAGATTAGAGGGTGCAGTTAGGATATCTGTGGTAAAGGTGAGGTACAAGTTTTGTCTGAGCACACTGCCCTGTGGCACTCCTGTTCCCAGAGGGCAATATTCGGAGTCGATCCTTGGTGAACTCGATTACAAGTTGTTTGGAAGGACACGTTTTTTACAATTTGTACAGGAGACACTCATACCACACGTGATCAAACACTTGTGCCACGTCAATAAAGGCCCCATGCAGTATTGTTTAAGCTCAAGGGATGAGGATATGTGGCAAAGCACCTGCTGGGTTGTGGAATGTTGATAGCGAATTAGGTAAAGCAATTTTCCAGTGGTACCTTGGATGGGTTAAGATGTATGGCCAGGAAATTTCTTTCTTTGGAAATCACACAGCTTTATTTTCTTTTAGCCGTTTGTTTTAAAACGGTGTTTGGTTACCTGTCAGCCCGTTCCGTTTATTTATAGACTTTATACTGAAAGTTTTATAACCGGGAAAACTCGATTTGGCGTTTTTGTAAGGAGTTACGCATCTACCATGAAATTGCTTTTTTCGTTTTCTTTTCGTTTAGTTTTTCTTTCTTTGCTCCACCGATCTTCAGGAAACTTTACATGGCCATTGACCTCCGTAAATAAATCAGAACCTTAGATATAAAATAAAACATTTGAGTAGTGTTGTTGATTTCATTCTTACGTTTCCCACTTATAATTGAATAACTAATAAAATCTAAACATACAAAGAAGAGAAATTAAGCTTTAAAACGGTTGTAATAACTTGAATTTCCATAAAATACAGAAAGGTTTGGAATTTTTAGGTGAGTCACCGGACATCGGCCAGATAAACATACCCATGGCGAATCGAACCCAAAAGTATTTATTTTATGAAAATGCGTATTTAATAGTATGAAAGGGTGCTTAAAACGATTCTGAATTGAGCTTTCCAAAAAATAATTTTTTTACCTAAATTATTGAAAGCGTTTTTTGGCTTTGGTAACTCTTTATACAGGGTGTCCTTTTTAGGTGGCTCGGCTGAATTTCAAATGTACCAATGATTCTATTTAAAAAAACGTGTTTAATATTTTTTAGTCTAGTTTCAAATTTAATTTTTACCTTTTTTTGAGAAAAAGTATACAGGAATATTTAAAGGATTTTTTACACAGGAAACAATGGTGCAATCGGATTGGTCAAAAAATGGCAAAGTTATGGCAAAAAGTTTGAAAAAAAGTCATTCGGTTTGCTATTTATTAATCATATTTAATGTTAGAACTGCGTTTTGCCTGAAGATGCAAAGATTTGCTCTTAGTAACCAATCTTCACCGGTGCTCAGAGCGATAGAGTAAGAGGAGATGGATTGACAAGCATTTTCTATCCTTTGCCGCAGTTCTTCAAGTTGCTGGATTAAGATTGGCGTAGACACTGCTTTTTAAATAGCTCCACAGAAAATAGTCAAGTGGAGTAAATCGGGTGACCGAGGAGGCCAACAAATCGGTCCTATCCACATATCCCGGAAGTGATGATTCAAATAACGACTCAACTGCCAAGAATTGTGTGCGGGGCATACATCAAGCTGGAGAATCATTCTTTGTCGTTGTAGGACAGGAATATCATCTAATGGTATTGATAAAACCTCCCTCAAAAAATTGAGGAACTGAGCACCATTTAAATTATTTTCGTAGAAACAAGGCCCAATTAATTTATTTCCTAGAAATCCACACCAAATGTTGATACTGTGAACCTAATGATGAAAAGAGTACGAAATTCCCGGATTTTCCTCTGCCCACATTCGAATGTCTGGATGACTCCTGGTAGTCCCCGTTCAAATTCTAAAGTTGCCCTTGGAATTTATTTATTTTTTTGATAATTTGAATATAGTAATTTGAACAAGTATTATCAATTCAATCAAATCAAAGAATCTAGGCCAATCGGTAGTTCATTTAGTGCCATGGAACACAAAAATGTTAAAATATTTAAATGAAATTAATAGGTAGATATTTCGACAATGATGGACGCCTGGTGTATAGGCAATTCCATGTTGATGAGTCAAAGGTTCAAAGAATGCGAGCTTAGCATTTTAAAAAGGCCGGATGCACACTACAACTTTTTGCTCACTTTCATTTGTCCTGGTTAAAGGCTAAAAAAAACTGATGGTATCTCTATTTTATCTCCACTGATCTCTTGTAATCTCTTTTTGTAATCCTCTACTGAGATGTCCCCTTC